GGCGGACGAGGATGTCGGGGACCAGAGCCTCCAACGACCGGCCCCCCGGCGCGGGCGGCGTCAAGCGGGGGCGGCTGCAGCAGGAGGCGGCGGCGACCGGCTCCCGCGTGACCGTGGTGCTGGGCGCGCAGTGGGGGGACGAGGGCAAAGGCAAGGTGGTGGACCTGCTGGCCACGGACGCCGACATCGTCAGTCGTTGCCAGGTGCGGGCCGGGCGCCGGGGCCCCCACCGCCCGGCGAGTCCCCCTCCCCAGGACCCAGCGCCCCGGGAGGTCTTTCCGGGAGCACCCTCGGGGCGCTTCGCCCACAATCCCACACACATGCCGCTCACACCGGCCAGCCCAGGCCCACAGCTATAAATATAAGTCGCTGAGTCGGGGACACCTGATCCTCAGGGGTGGGTGGGGCGTGCCAGGGGAGTGACGGGCCGCCCTGGGGGGGCACCCAGCTTGGGGAACTCGAGGGCCCTCAGAGCCTCGCTCCTCCTCCTGTAGCCGTGAGGGTCCGGGCGGGCGCGGCTGGTCACACCAGGGCAGAGCGCACTTGAAGCCGCTTGCTGGGCAAGGGGAGGTCCCCCGGACCTGGGGACCCGGAAGTGGCTGGGGCAGGGGCCTGGATCCGGGAGGATCCCGGCTTCCTGGGGTAGGGGGAACCCAGACTTCTGGCCACGGTGACCGCGTGTCTGTTGGGGCCACGGAGGAGCCAGGCGCAGCCTGCGTCCAGAAGGGCCTGGCCAGCTGCGGCGTGTTCTCAGCCCCCCCGCACCTGTTCTGACCCGGTGCTGGGTGGATGCTCTTCGGGTCACTGCCCCGTGCAGGCGACCCCGCCCACACTGCCTGTGGGCTGCCAGCCCCACACAATGACTGCTTCAGGTGCTCTGGTGGTGTTTGGAGCCTCCCCGGGGCTGGGACACCCACCGGAGCTCTTCCCTGGCACTGGGGCCTGGGGTGGGCTCGGTGTGGCCAGCCGAGCCCGTAGCCTGTTGGTACACACCTCTGGGCAGGTCTGCAGGTGGGCTGAGGAAAGTGCCTCCTCGGAGGGGGTGATCTCCCCTGCTCTCTCCCCTCACTGCAGGCCCCAGGGCTGCCCCCAGACCTGATAGCTGGGTGCACATCCAGAGTTCTATGACTCCAGGGTGTCCCAACTCCTGTGTAGCCTCTGCTCTGTCTGCCCTGCACCGTCCACACAACTTGCAGCCCCATTGGGAGGACCCTGCCGACCCTGGCCCCTTGCCCAGGTCAGCAGGCCGGCCCCGTCACACCCTCCATTTGACTGGGCCTGTCACCTGGGCCCCTCGGAACCCTCTCCCCCAGCCTGCCCCCTGTAGAGCTCAAACCCTGTACTGGGCTGAGGGAGCCCTGGACTCCTCCTTAGCGGGGTTAAGACGAGGCGCAGGCCTATCTCCCGCCAGCCTGCTGACAAACCCGGAGTGGGGCCCGAGAGCTCCTTCGAAGGTGGGGAAACAGGAAGCTGAGGCTCACCAGAAACCCCGGCTGCAGCACATCCCCCACGCGATAGCCCCGGGCTTGCACCCCCCCACCTTTGGGCGTGAAGCCAGCCCAGGGTTGTGAGCGCATCTCCAGCTGACAGACCCCCTTTTTTGCACATGCGCAGGAACCCAGCTTCCTGCATTGTCTCTGCCCTGGAGTAAGGCTCCTGCCTGCTGCTGACCTCCCAGCATCCGCCCCATTTCCCTACGCCCAGGGCCATCCTGGTATGGTCAGAGACTGGCAGAGTGAGTGTCCAACCAGGTGCCCAGGGCTGTCTGTCCTTACTGCGTGTGTGCATAGGCAAACAATGCCAGAGCGGGGCTCCTGATGCCAGGACATGACTTCATAGTGGATGCCAGAGGCTGAGAGAATGGGGTGATCTGTGAAGTGAGCACAAGGTGGAGGCTCCACACCTGCCCACATCACCCCCATTCCTTCCTCTGAGTGCCCAGGATGGCCAGCTGCGAGCACACCAGGCATTGGAGCCCCGTGGGGCTTCTCTTGGTCTCCACCGTGGACTAATGTCCATGCCCAGCCAGCTGGAGCCAAGGCTGAGGTCTGGCTGGGGTCACTGTCCGGGCCGACCTCAGGCTAGGGATGGAAGCCACAGCCCCGTGGATGGACTGCAAATGTGGGCACAAGATCCTAGGGTCTCCTGTGTCTTCTCTGACAGATGTCCTGTGCAGTGGGGGCCCTGTTCTTTGGTCTGCCGGGTTCTGGAGCTTTCTCAGGGGCCCACCAGAGATTCCAGGCTGCTCTGGAACCCCTGGAGTGCCAGAGACACTCCTGGAAGCAGGTCCTCCACTGCCTCTGCACACCATGGTGTTGGATGTAGCCAGTACTGCGTGGTCACATGGCCAAAGCTCCCTGTGCTTCCTCTGGCCTCGCCTGGCCTCCAGGAGGGAACCTTGGAGGACACACCAAAAGGAAGTGAGGCGCTGCCTGGAGGTGCTGGGGGCTGGGCGGTCAGGCCTCCGACCTCAGCCCTGAGAGGGCAGCTTGCCTGCCTGAAGGCCTGGGGGGCAGGGCCCAGGGCACAGGAGGGGAGCCCGCCCCCAAGCAGGTGGTGGATGCCACCTGAGAGCTCAGAGACAGGGTGAACATGGCAGGGCTGCCTGTGAGGCAGTCAGCCCTGCTGTACCTGGGGTGAGCTGGAGCTGAGTGAGTGTGGATGTTGGGGCAAGGCAGCATGTGAGAGCCTGCGGGGTGACAGGAGAATGGGGGTGCCACAGGAGCAGCAGTCTGTTACCTCAGCACCACCAGGTACACAGCCTTCCTTGAAGGCTGAGGTCCTGGCCAGCTAACTAGCCTCACCGTTCCTAGGGCCAAGCTGGGTCAGGCTAGAGCACACTGGGGGCAGGCACCTGGCCACTGCTGCCTGCCAGGCAACCCCAAGAGATCTGGTCCTGTACTCAGGGGCCCCAAGGTCTGTGTGCAAGTGGTGTGGGAGGGGCCCGGGTGGGGACAGAAGGCTAGGGCTGGAGGGGAGGTTGCCATGAGGGGACCAGCTGGGGCTGGGGGGCATGTCTTAGCACTCAGCACATCCAGGACCTGCTCTGGAAGAGGGTTCTGGCCCACGTGGAAAGCACCCAGCCTCTGGTTGCTCTGTCCAGCTCAGAGCTGCTGTGAGCTGGCAGGTCCTCTGCAGACAGGAGATCAGAGGTCCAGGGAGCAGGCAGCCATGGAGAGGAGAAGCCCTGGATGTGGAGTGGGGGTTCTCAGGGCTGTCAGAGCCCTGGGTGCCGAGGGTAGCCGGAGCCACACAGGGCAAATGAGGTCCCAACAGCGGGAGGGATGGGGGAGGGGCAGTGCCAGTGTCCACACTGAGGGCCAAGGTTGCCACATGCCCAGTCTGGGGAGAGCATCCCTGCAGGGACGGAGCCAGGGTCAGGGCTGAGTCACTTCCAGGGCAGGATCGGGTTGTCATGGGTCCCTAGAGGGAGAGCTCTGGTCTTAAACTCCCAGCCACCGAGAGCTGGGGTCTTTGAGTGACAGCTGGCCTGAGGGCAAGGGGTGGTAGGGGGACTTCAGTGTCTGGTGACAGTGGCCCCTGGAGTTGTGCAGTGTGCTGCTTGTGCAACCATCCACAGCATCCCATAGCATGTGGCCCATCCTGTGGGCCATGTGGAGTGTGCTCCGCCCCACCTATGGGAGCCACAGTAGGTCCTGGGTCAGCACCTACTAAAGGACCTTGCTGTGTGGCTGAAGGTTGGCCTTTCTTGAGCTCCAGCACCTGGACTCTGCTGGGCCATCGCCGCCCTGCATTCTGCAGCTGCCTGGTACCTGCACACAGGTACTCAGTTACAGACATGGGAGGAGAGTGCTGGCCTCAGGGCAGGCTGGCTGGGACAGGAGGGAGGGAGACTGCAGTGCTGGGAGAGGCATAGGTGCTGTGGGTGGGAAGATGGGAGGCCACGGGCCTCTGCATAGAGAGACCAAGTCAGCGGCCTGCCCAGGTCCAGCCCTGAGGTCAGCTCCTTGGGCCCAGCACCCAGGCAGGCCAGGGCCACGGCAGGGCTGTGGGCTGACCCCAGCTCCGCAGCAAGGCCCGGCCCCTGCCACGCCCCCAGGGTGATGTGGGCTTTCTCTGCGGTGAGGCCTGTGGAGACGGAGCCCTAACGTGGCCATCTTGGGCTGAGCAACAGGGGCCATCACACCCCACTACAGCCAGAGGTGACACCTGTGTGACGGGAGCTGGCTGTGAGCACAGCACCCCCCAGAGCCTGCTCACCTGGGTGGGGCGGCCAAGACTGCAGGGCTCAAGGCACCACGTGGCTTCCACCTGCTGTGCTGGGCAGGTCCAATGCCCCACCCCCTCCGTGTCAGTGGCCTTCCACTACCTACCCCTCCATGCCCACTGTGCCCATCCTCCTTGGGTGCCTTTGCTCTGGGAGCCCCAGGCTGAAGCCCACAAGGGCATCTTGTCCCCAGCTCTTCGGCTGTCCCCATGCACCTGGCGTTCTAAAACTTCACTGGGCAGAGCCACAAACTGGACGTCTGGGAAGGCGCCCTGGCTGCACAGGGCTGCTGGAAGCCCTGGGGCTGGTGCCTCCCCTGAGTGCCCTGTTCCTGGCACCTGGGCTCCACAGTGGGCGCTGGCCCAAGGTCATGGGACGTCCCCTGGCCCATGGCACTGTGCTGTTCCCAGGCACCCGTGTTTACCCCAACACACGTGGTATGCTTCTGTGCCCTCTGCCAGCTGGCCTGGTCCTGGGCACCCTGAGAGGAGGGCAGGGCCGCGGGCACCCTCTCGGGGCTCCCTGGGCCCCAGCTGCTCTGGTGGGCAGTGCTCAGCTGCTGTACTGCCCTTGAGGCCTCCCCACTGTGGGGACAAGGCTATGCACCAGGACAGGCTAGGTCAGCTCTGCCAAGACTCACTTTTTCTTGGTTCCTCATCTGTCCCTGGAGACCCTAACCCCAGGTGACACAGGTTATGGATGCAGGTACTTCAAGAGCCAAGGGGAGCTGCATGTGCCAGGCAAGCGCAGAGCACGGAGGGCTGCAGGGTCTGTCCCATCCTAACAGGTTGTGTGTGCAAGCCCAGGACAGGGAACAGGGACTGCCAAGCCCCACAGTAAATTCGGGGGTCCCTCAACTCCTTCTCCCTCCTCTTCCTGCCCCCCAGCCTCTGTCTCCCCGCACTCAGGTAGCCTTTCTGGGACAGCTTGCCTGTGTGCCCCTCCATGAGGGTCCGTCATATGGCTCCCTTCCACGCCCTTGCTCGCCACAGTCCCCCAGTACCCCATCATCTGCACACAGGACCCACACGTCAGGTCCCGGTGCTGGCTAAGGACACCCTGGCGGGGAGGTGGGCATTGCAGTGTCATCAGAGCCGTGCCTGGATGGGTCCTGCAGTTGGTGGGGCCAGCCTAGGAGAGCTGGGCAGAGGGCAGCAGCGGAGGCAGCCTGCATCAGAGGCTGCAGGGAGAGGCCTAGAGCAGACCTTCACTTAGGGGTCTGGTGCCATGTTGTGGAACAGGCTTCTAGCAGGCCCATCTTACCTGGGGGGTCAGGGGCTAGAGGATGGGGAGGGAACTAAGTGCACGGCGCTCCAGCCCTGCTGTTCAGCGACCGCTGTGAGAAGTGAGGTCCCTGCATGGTCCCCAGCATTGCCTGCTCCGCCAGCTGTTTGAGAGAACCTGACAGGCTTGGAATCTGCCCAGCACATCATGAGCAACAGGCATCCACACTGAGTGTCCTGGGCAGACAGAAGAGGACAGGGTGGGGTGAGGGCCCCCCTTCAGGGCACAGATAACAGGGTGTGGCTGGATGGAGGTCCTGGGGCCCGGGGAGGGGCTGATGGGGGCAGGAGAAAAGAGGCAGTTGCAGGCTGGTTGGCCAGCATGCCCCACGTATGGGACATGGGACTGCGGCATGAAGACCCTGTGCGGGCTCTCAAGAGGTGCGACCACACTGTGTACCTGACATGGCTTCAGGGGTACCATGGACCATCCTGGGAGGGGAGACGCTGCTACCCCAGGCCCCTTGTGTGCCGGCCAGCACACACGTGTCCCCATGGTGGGTCCTCCTGCTTGCCTTCAGTCACAGCCCCATCCACTGCACCCCAGGGTCGGGGTTCCCGGCCCTATCTGCCTACCAGCCCACCTGCACTACAGGGCCATCAGACAGGCATGGGAGCCACCCTGTGCACCCAGGTGACAGGCTACCCCAGGGCCCCTCTCTCTGCCTTAGCTGTTGGTGCCTGGGAAGCCTGAGGACATAGTCAGCCGAGTCTCTGTCCCCAGGGAGGCAACAATGCTGGCCACACTGTGGTGGTGGATGGCAAGGAGTATGACTTCCACCTGCTCCCCAGCGGCATCATCAACACCAAGGCGGTGTCTTTCATTGGTGAGTGTCCCCTGCCCACCATCCTAGCCCTGCAGTGTGAGCTGGAAGGCTCAAGAGCACCTCTGTGCGGGTGCACCCGCACCCCTGGGCTGGCTGGACATCAGGAGCTGGTGTAGGAGTCACCCACACAGCCAGCTGCCAACGGGCCACGTGGGAGCAGACAGGCTGAGAGGAGGTACGGAGCCGGTCCTCCCGGCCTCACAGACTAGATGCCCTGGGGGTCAGAGGGCCCCGGAGGCTCTGCTGAGCCCAGATTCCAGGTGTGCATGCAAAAGTCCATCCACTGGTGTGCCTTTCATTGAGGTCTGGTTGTGTGTGTAGGTGGGCAAGCACGGCTGGCGGCATGGATCAAGTGGGGTCTCTGCTATGTGACCCCAACCGCCTGACAGGCTCCCAGCCCTGGGCTCATCCATGCTTCCAGGGCCCCCTGCCCCACAGTCTCCCAGCCACTCCAGGCCTGTGCACATCCTTCCTGGCTGACCTTGCTGCAACCACCTGTGACCTTTTGTGCCCTTGAGAGGTGAAGCCACCTTGGTCCCCAGGATCTTGTCCCCCCTCCCCACTCCATCAGAGGACTGAGGGGCTGTCCTCTCCTAGCTTGTAGCCCGTGGCCCGGCTGCCTCTGGCCCATTCCCTCTGGCTCTGGCCAGCCCATTTGAAACCTAGCTGGGCCCCAGCCCATCGGGAAGTGCAGGTAAGGGGCAGCCTGGTTGTGCCACAGGGCCTCTACCTACTGTGCAAGAGCCAAGACAGGCACTGGCTGAGGGCTGGCCGCTCCCTGGGAGGGCCGTCTGCCTGGACACTGAGTCCAGGTCAAGGCCAGGGCAGCACTGGGCTGCACGGTCACCAGGAGCACTAGCGAGTGGGCTTCCAGCCAGCGTGGTAGGTGCCCTGTGAAGCCACCTCTTCCATGTGGTCATTTCAAGATGCTGTGGCATTTGGGTGACCTTTCCTGCTCGCTGTGACTTGTGCAATCTGGGTCCCTTCCTTCTTGACATGTTCCACTTCCCTCAGCCAAACTGTGCATGGCCGCAGGGCCAGGGGCTCCCATGGGAGGCAGCAGGGGTCTCTGCTGGGCTCTTAATGGTGCGAGTGAGGGGCCCCTTCAGCCCAGACGCACATCAGCATGCAGCGTGATCTCGGAAGGGTTGCCTCCCTCTGCCCGCGTGGAACTCCCTGCAGACCCCACGTCAGTTTCCACAGGTGGAAAGAAAACGCCTCAGAGCTGCGGTCGATCCTGGGCGCAGTGGGGCTGCGTGTCTCCAAGGCTCCCCTTCCCCATGTTCAGGTTGTTTTGTAAACAACCCTTTCACTGAGGCCTGGTTCACGGTTGTCAGATCCTCCCTGGAGGTTGCAGCCTGGCGGGTCTACGCCCCTAAGACTGGTTTTATCATGGAAGGTCCATGCGGTTGCTGGTCATTGCCCTCCCTCCACCTCACAGGCCACTGCTGTGTTTCATGCCACACTGGTCTTTTTACTTTTTTTTTTTTTGTACTTGGAAGACATATTCAGTAGCTTTACCATTTAAATCAATTTTTAGTGTCTTTTAATCGGCTTTATTTCTTAGAGCAGTTTCAGGTTCACAGCAGAACTGAGGCAGTTATAGCACATTCCCAGGATCCCTGTCCCTGCACATGCAGCCCCCACAATCACACCTGGTCTCCATGGAGGAGCCACACAGCCATTGCCCTCGCCACCTGGAGTTCACATGAGGCCTCCTCCCTGGCACTTGGTGCGTGTAGACAAATGTGCAGCGACACACGTCCACCATTAGTGTCACACAGGACAGTGTCACTGCCTTAAAATACCCTGTGTCCACCTGTTCTCCTTGGCCACCGATCACTTTGCTGCCTTCGTGGTTTTGTCTCTTCCAGTGTCAAAGGTGAAGCCATATCACTTTAGTTCAAAGATCCACTTGGATTTTTTTTTTTTTTTTTTTTTGGTTTTTTTCTGGTATCAGGAACCGAACTCACGACCTTGCGCTTGCCAGGCAGGCGCTTTGCCGCTGAGCTAAATCCCCAGCCCCCTCCACTTAGCTTTTATTTGCCACCCAGGATGGGCAACACCCGGCTTTCGTGGAACAGAGTGGGGGTCCAGTGAGTGGGCAGAGGCAGATGCAGCAGCCACTGGGGTGTCACGGTCCTCCCCGTGTAGGCCCAGGCAGAGGGCACAGCCTCACAGTGTTCACTCATGGGTAGAAAACTGGCCCATTTCCAAGTCCAGGTTGAGGTCACAGCCCTTGGTACCATGCTGCCATGCTGATCTGGTCTGGCGTTGGGGTAGTTTGTGGCCCCATCCAGAACCCTGACCTGCCTGACCTCACCAGCCACAGCAGGGCTTCTCCACTGTCAGATGTACCTTGGTTCAGCCATACTCCCAGGGAAGGGCTGCTCCCGAGTTGGGCAGTTAGGAGTCAGGCTGCCACAGGCACTGCACGGGCCTAAGTGTGCACATGTTCAGCTGCTTGGGTAAGCGCCAGGGACTGATTACCATGCATCGTCACAGTGTAGAACCTGCCACTGTCCCAGACCACAGCTCTGACCCTGAGCAGCCCCACCCTCCTGGCCCTGTTAACCACTGTCCTGCTCCTGCCTCTGAGTCAGCAACTCTAGGGACCTCACGTCTGGCTGATGTCACCCGGCATCGTGTCCTCAGGGCTCACCCATGCTGCAACACGTGTCAGGATTCCCTTCCTTTCTGAGGCTGGGTCGAGGTGCTTTGTGTGACGGCCACGCTCACTCATTCACCCTGATGGACACTCAGCTGCCCCCAGCTCCTGGCTGCTGTGACCCTGGCCTGCCAGGCACAGGCTGCAGTAAACTTGGCTTCCTGAGCTCCATGGCATGGCTCAGTCACATGTCCTGTCTGTTTGTCGCAGGCAATGGCGTGGTCATCCACCTGCCGGGCTTGTTTGAAGAAGCAGAGAAAAATGAGAAGAAAGGTAGGTCCTGGGGCTGCACATCATCCTGCCCAGCGGCATGCAGTGCCAACGGCAGAGCGGCAGAGGCTCCCCTGTGTCACAGACTAGGGGCCTCCTGGAAAGGAGGCTAAGCAGCCTGGCAGTCGGCGCTGGGAGGCTGGGCTGTGAGGTGGGGACCTGCGGGGAGAAGGTTCCGGGAGGGCCTCTTGCCCCATGCTCATCCTGATGGGAGCTGGGCGAGCTCGCCTGGTCTGGGCACAGGTCACCTGTGGGTGCAGCATGCCAGTGAATGCCGCCCCCGTGTGCCGTGTCCCTGCAGGCCTGAAGGACTGGGAGAAGCGGCTCATCATCTCCGACCGGGCCCACCTTGGTGAGCTTCCGATCCACACACCCTGCCTGGTCCCACACAGCTCCCCTCCCTGTCCCTCACCCTTTCCAAAGAGCTGGGTCAGGGGCCACTGGCCCCATTTGCACACAGAGAAACTGAGGCCCAGGGAAATGTTCAGTCACACCTGCACGGAACAGGTGCAGCCTGAGGCTCTGGCACCCAGCTTCTGCCCCTGCCCACTGCCCAGGGATCACACTCACACCTTAACCCCTTTGCTGGGAAATGGCGCATGGCCGCTGAGTACCTGCATAGACCTCTGCCCCTGCTTCTTTCCTGCTCCCTGGCACCTCATGGCCCGGCAGTGTTCGACTTCCACCAGGCGGTGGACGGACTGCAGGAAGTCCAGCGCCAAGTGCAGGAGGGGAAGAAGTAAGTACGGCCTGGATCTTGGGCTTGCCGGCTGGTGGCCTTGGGCACATCCAGTTCCACATGGGGGGTTCCACTCACTCAAAGCCCCTGAGGACGGCTCCCACTTGGCAGCCCACCTCTCTCAGGGCCCCACACTGTCCTCGTTGGCTGCCCCTGCTGTCCCTGCCTGGGCCACCCTGACTGCGCACAAGGGCCTCCGGGAAAGGAGAAGCGCTGAAGCAGCCTGGCGCCCCTGCCAGTGCCCAGCCAGTGCCCACATCCTGCCCCTGTGTGCCATGGGTACTCTGAAATGTCTGCTAGGACCTCTGGCAGCCAGAGGCCAGAAGAGGCTCACATGAGTACCACCTCCAGCAGATGGCATCAGTTACCCACATGCCTGCAGATAGCGCCTCACGCCCACACACGCAGGCACACGCACAGCTGGCCTCATGCTCACACGTGCACACAGCCAAGCACAGGCGGTGATGGCGAGCAGCCTGCATGCACAGAGTGTACTGTGGGGGTGGCGGGCACAGCCAGGGCGTCCATCTGGGGGAAGCGGCAGCGGCCAATACCAACTGGCACCCTCACTACCCAGTGAGGGGGAATCCAAGGTAGGGCAGCTTTGAGGCAGGAGGACCACTGGGCACAGGCATGGGGCTGGGGCTCCAAACAGTGTCCCCACCAGCCCTGTGTCCCTGGAAGCCAAGTTTGAGAAGCCCAGGGCACCTCACAAAGCCCCACATTTGGTACCCTCAGTGTCACTTCAGGGAGGCTCCCGGGATGTCTCCCTGCCTGGCCTTTATCCACAGGGGCGCCCAGCTCTGCAGGGGCCGGCAGGGCTGCAGTAGGCCATGCTGAGGCCCGGGGTCCTCACCAACATGTGGACCCGTCTTTCAGCATCGGCACCACCAAGAAGGGAATCGGACCGACCTACTCCTCCAAGGCCGCCCGGACGGGCCTCCGCATCTGTGACCTGCTGTCAGACTTCGACGAGTTTTCCACCAGGTAGTAGGCCAGCTGCGGCCAGGGGACCGGGCGTTGGGATTACCCAGAGCAAACTTCTGTGTGGACCTCTGGGGATCACAGTGACGGTCACCTGCACAGATTCAAGAACCTGGCCCACCAGCACCAGTCCATGTTCCCCAGCCTAGAGATAGACGTAGAAGGCCAACTCAAGAGACTTAAGGTAAGTCGGGCACCCTGGGGTTGGTAAGTCATCCGCTCCCTTGCTGTGACGTCTAGACTCCTCAGAGCAACCCATCACCACTGGCTGGCATGGTCCCTGCAGGGCTTTGCTGAGCGGATCAGACCCATGGTCCGAGACGGGGTTTACTTCATGTATGAGGCACTCCATGGCCCCCCCAAGAAGATCCTAGTAGAAGGTGCCAACGCCGCCCTCCTTGACATTGACTTCGGTACGTCCTCCACGCCCGCCCCTGCTCTGTCCTGGCTTTTGGATCCTGATGGCTTTTCATGTGTGCTGGGAACCAGCTGCCTGGGGAGGGCAGAGGCAGAGGGGTGAGGCAGAGCCACAGTGCCACCCATACCACAAGAATGATCCAATCTCCCAGTTTTCCCAACTTCAGCAGGGTAGGGAAAAGGGAAGGGCTGAGTTGCAGGTGAAACTTTGGGCTGTCCCCAACCCCACAGGCACAGCCGTGGACACCATGGCAGCCAGGCCACCTTGGTCCACACTGGGAACAGCCTGCTCCTGCCCTCACCCCACACCCCACACCCCACAGAGCCACATGGCCCTGCACACAGCACCTCACGCAGGGGTGCACCCGCCCCCTGCCCTTTGCTCACAGGCACCTTGGGCCCAGATCTGCAGGGCTGGAAGAAGCCCCAACCTGTGGCCTGCTCTGTCTCGCAGGGACCTACCCCTTTGTAACGTCGTCCAACTGCACAGTGGGTGGCGTGTGCACCGGCCTGGGCATCCCGCCCCACAACATAGGAGATGTGTATGGCGTGGTGAAGGCCTACACCACCCGCGTGGGCATCGGGGCCTTCCCCACAGAGCAGATCAATGTGAGTGCCCAGCCCCGCGCAGCCCCACCAGCTCGCCAGCACAGGCAGGCATGCAGCAAGAGGGCCAAAGGTCGGCTTGCTCCTACCGTGGGGAGCAGGTGTGGGTGTGTGCATCTTGGACCCTGTCTACCCCAGAAGTGTGTCGGGACTCAGACATGGGGCTGCCCTCAGACACCCTCACTGAGGGTAGCTCATGGGTCACCTCCTCTCAGAAGGGACACTGAGTGCCTCCCCAGCCCTGGCCCTGTGGCTGGTCTGGCTTGGTCCTGTTTGGGGCCTTCTGCTTGGCCCAGGGAAAGCTAGGACAGGGCTGAAAGCACAGCCCTGAGCCCTCAGCCTCCCCTCTGAGGTAGGTGTGAAGGGGCATCCAGAGAGGCTCAGGCTTTTCCTGAGCAGCACAGGCATGGGTGGACGAGATAAAAGATCCACTGTCCGCAAGCTGTGCTGCAAGCCAGGCCCCGCCCTGCCGGCTTAGTCCCTGCTGGGTCCAGACTTCACCACAGCGCTGCCAGGCGGGTTCTGAGCCTTTTCCCACAAGAACCACAGGAATCGCATGGCCAACAGCAGGATGTCTGAGGCGTCTGACCTGTTTCCCTGGTGTAGGCGGGGGCTCCTGGGGAGCACAGCCAGGCGGAATGTGGCTTCTGAGGACACGCATGTAGAGGCCACATGGCTGACCTGTGAGGAGAACACCTTCAGGAATCCCCAAGTCCAGGCTGGGGATACAGCTCAGTGGCATAAGCACCTGCCTGGCAAGTGCAAGGTCCTGAGTTTGATTCCCCGTACAAAGGAAAAAAAAAAAACAGGAATTCCCAACTCCAGAAAGGGGCAGCAGAGGGAGAAAGAGAAGGGACTCAAGCCCAGAGAGCAGCAGTACACAGGTCCCCTTGAGCCATGTGGATGCCCTCTTGTCCCTGCAGGAAATTGGAGACCTGCTGCAGAGCCGTGGCCACGAGTGGGGGGTGACCACGGGCAGGAAGAGGCGCTGCGGCTGGCTGGACCTGATGATCCTGAGATATGCACACATGGTCAATGGCTTCACTGCGTAAGCGGCGTTTCTGGGGATTCCCAGCCTTGCCATGTCTGAGGTCCATGGGGTCCCTATGCAGGGTTCTGCCATGTCCCCCGCAAGGCTGACATGGGGCTCGTGGTGGGCCTGGCACTGTGGTGGTGTCCTGGTGCTATGAGAACTCACAACAGGTGCAGGTGTGAGACAATTCCAGGTTACAGAATCTCTGCTCAGGGTGCTAGGAGGTGGTGATACCAGCACAGTGTGGGACCGTGAGCCAGGTGAGCACTCGCTGTGCCCGGAGCCCAGCAGTGTCTCCCAACAGGGTCCTCTGCTTTTCATTCAGGCCCCTGTAAGGACCTCTGAGTGTGGGCGCTGGGCTCATCTTCAGGAGCCCTGGGACCCCCTGCCAGAGGGCTGGGGCAGGCAAGCAGCACATATCCATTCACCCTGTGCCCAGGATCTAGCAGTGGTCTCTGAGCTGAGGGACCTGGCATTTGGAGAAGGGCCCTCTTGCAGGTGGGGCTGAGAAGGAGTGGGGAAGAGATGCAGACCGGAAGGGGTGGCCAGCAACACAGCCCACAGCTCCCTGGACCACTGGGAGCAGTGTGGGCTCTGAGGAAGTATGCAAAACCCCCACGAGAAAGGCCACCTGTGACTCCCCAAGACCTGATCCCTGTCCTGTGAGGACAGAGGGTGTCAGCTTGTGCTAGGACCAGAGTGTGGAGGTGCTTCTAGTGGCACTGCCTGGTTAACAGTGCTTGGGAAGGGCACCAAGACCAAGGGAGTGCACCCCATGGTGCTGAGAAGAAGCCCCACTTTGCTGTAGCTGGAGTTTCTGGAGTGATTTTCCCAAGAGACAGGCCAAGGCTGTGAGCTGCATGTTTTCCACTGGATGGCAGCATCCCCTCTAGACCCAGACTTAATCAGAGCACTGCTGGGTGGGTCCCCAGCCCATCTTTGTGCAAGAAGCACGTTCCCATGTGGCCAGGACACGACGTCTGAGGTTGCCAACCTCGGTTTCCCTGGTGCAGCCTAGGGTTCATGGCATAGACTCAGAAGCACAGGGGCCAGGACAGCATGGCACTGGACAGCTCTGCCTGCTCACTGCCACCGCTGGCTCGGGTCCAGCAAAACCCATCCATGAGGCCCATGGCACCCGGGGCCTCCACAGAGGGAGGGAAGACAGAAAAGGGGAAAGGGGAGGGAACCCAGAGGCCGGAGCCTAGGGGTGGCACAGAGGAGAGACGCAGAGAGGCAGCTGCCATCATGACACTGGCCGGCCCAGGGGCGGGGATGAGGGCACCGGTGGGTGAAGGGACACAGTGTCACGCTCATGGCACTGGACCCCCATATGGCCGTGCTGTGGCAGATGTGGCTAAGCTTCAGGCGGACAGGGCTGCAGCTGACCAGGAGGAAGCTGCGGTTGCAGGAAAGGGCTCTGGGTCAGGGCGCTCGAGGAGGAGAGCTGGATGGCCAAGATGGCACAGGCCCGACAGGTGCTCCTGCCCCATCGCCTCTAGCAGTTTTCCAGGATCACCCATCCTCACAGTTAACACTAGAAGCAGCAATAGGGTGAGAACCAAACCAAAGAGTGTGAGCCATCTCTGCATCTCTCACCGCTTGACTTCTGGGCAGGCTAGCCTTGACCAAGCTGGACATCCTGGACGTCCTGAATGAGATTAAAGTTGGCATCTCATACAAGCTCAACGGGAAGAGGATTCCCTACTTCCCAGGTACGTGACATGAGCCAGCGTTTGCCTGCCCACTGGGCACCAGAGGAGAAGGGGGCAAGGAGGGGTGGCATTGCCAGCAGGTGGAGCGCAGCCGCTTTGCTCCAAGGGCCTGCTCAGCCTGGCTTTGCCTCTCATGGACTCTTGGAGAGGCCTGTGGGGTCCCTGAAAGGCTTACTTCCTAGGAATGGGATTCTGTGTTAGTGGATGTGGCTGGTTCTGGAAAGCCAAAAGCTCTCTGCAGATAGAAACATGACTGTCTCATATAGGAAAACATGCTTCATGGTTAGATTTCCTTCTTTCACTTTTAGGAGGAGGGATGGAACCCAGAGCTCCACCCATCCTAAACACTCACCTACCCCTGACTTCCCTCCCCAGCCCCGGGCAGACATGTAAAGATCTCACTGGGCTCCTGCCCCTCTCCGTCCTTCCTTTAGAAAAGCATACCAATGGTCTTTTCCTGGACACCGTCTTGTGCATGTGGAATATGCCTTTTGGTGTCGCGCCATGGTTTTGTCTGACCTGCTCCTCCGACAGCCTCCTCTGCCACAGCTATGGACATCCCTTGCTTTCCACCTGCACACAGGCCTGGGTAGACCCAGAGGTGGCCTTGGGTGTGGGAGTCATGCACACCCTCGAGGGCCCTACTGACCCTGGCCTTGGGAGGGTGCTCCATGGAGGCCCATTCTCCTCCTGGTGGTCGCTGTGGCTCTGCACATGGGGTACACCTTATGTGGGCAGACCCTTTGGGGGGCTACTTGTTCCAGGGCCTCCCACTGGCAGGGGTGGTTGGCACAGCCCAGGGGTCCCTGCCGGGGAGGTGTTAACATCCCCAGGGGTGGGACATATGTCCTCAAGGGTACCTTAGTGCTGTAGGACACCAGAGTCCGCTGGGGTTGGCTCCCAGGCAGAGCCTGACACCCTCAAGAACACTTGGTGACCGTGTGGGGTGGCCTGAGCCCGGGTCTGGAAGGAGCTTAGACCCCGGCCACTCCTGACTCACTGCCGAACACCAAGCAAACCCCGAAGGCCCCCACCCGTGCCAGCTCCCTACCTGCCGAGTGTCACCTCAGCACCACACCCTTGCGGCAGACACAGTCTGTGGGACTCCCTCACCCCTCTGTGTCCCCCAGCTAACCAGGAAATACTCCAGAAGGTTGAGGTGGAGTACGAGACACTGCCTGGCTGGAAAGCGGACACCACAGGTGCCAGGAAGTGGGAGGACCTGCCCCTACAGGCCCAGAACTACGTGCGGTTCGTGGAGAACCACGTGGGCGTGGCAGGTGGGTGCCACTCCCCCTCCCCACGGCTCTCCCTGTGCGGTGGACACCCTGAGGGGTCCAGGTCCCAGTGCAGGGCATAGAGAGCAGTAAGAATCTGCCAGGTGTGGTGACCACGTGAATGCATCAGGCAGGGAGGGGCAAGGGGACCAGAGTGGGTACAGGTGGTGTCAGCAGCTCCAGCCAGATGAGGCTGCGGTGCCCTTAGTGGGAGTAGCAGCCACCCAGATGTGGCAGGGTGGGCAGGGGGCACCTCGTCCCCATGCGAGTGAGCTGACTCCATCACAAGGTGACTGGCCCAGACTGGACGTGCACAGGCACAGTGGCTTACCCGAGGGGCAGGGCCAGGGTCTGCTTGCTGCTGCACTCCACGCCCTCCTCAGGCACTGCCTTTATAATGTGAACTTTACAGCTCTTTCCATTTGCAAAAAAACAGTACCCTTCACCAAGTGAACTATACTTCAGAAAACTGTTCTTGGTGGGCTCCCTGCTCTGGGTGCACCGTGACCGCCCTCTGTTGCCCTTTCAGTCAAATGGGTCGGTGTTGGCAAGTCCAGAGAGTCCATGATCCAGCTGTTCTAGACCCAGCAGAGCGGCTACGCCAGGCCACAGCCGTGCCCCATCCCTTCAGGAGCAGCTGCAGCTGTGTTCCCTGGCGTCACAAGCAACACTGGAAACAAGACATCTGAAAATCATTTTCTGTACTTCTATTTTTCCACTGAAGCTTTTGGCTCCACCCACTGAATACTACAGTGATTTTAAACATCTGAAAGCCAGCACTGTGTAGTTTTTAAAATTCTGCTATTTAAAATGAGCCCAAATGCTCAAAACAGAGGCCTTGTGTGGCACACTGCCACGGTGTGCCCGTTTGGAGCCATGTAACAGTAAACATGTCCAGGAGCCCGAGTGTGTGGCCATTCTGCGCTCGCCTTGACTCTGCCCTGCTGCTTCCCAGCCCTGAGAGGTGACCGCTCTTCATCACCAGAGGGTGCCTGGTGCAGGCTCCTGAGAGGAAAACCTGTCCTGCCCATGAGCTGGCTGCCACTGCTGCAGTACCTCAAGGCCAAAACAAGAGGCGGGTGGAGACTTACAGACAGAAACATGTTGTGGTGGCAGCAAGACAGGAAGGGCTTGGTGTCTACTGTATGGCACAGGCCTGTGGTGGGACAGGGAAGCAGGATCGGTTCTTTGGATTTCCTGGGAATTACTTCCATCTATAATAATGCCAAGGAAGCAGGGAGGAGCGAGCTTCTGGGGGAGCTTCCCAAGTGGAAGGTGCCTGCCCAATGCCCAGCTTAGAATTCCCATGGACACCTGCACAGGTCACCCGCACGAGTCCAACAGGCCTTGGCCCACAGGCCTCTCTGCCCCTACTGGCTGGTTGGGCCTGTCATGGACTGCCTGCCTACTGGCCCTGCCAGGTGTGCTGTCCACTTAGGTCTGTAACAAACAGCCTTGGAGCCAGGCATGGTGACACACGCGTGTAATCCCAGCATTCTGGGAATCTGAAGCAGGAGGATCACAAATTCCAGTTAGATTTTTTTAAAAAGTTGCTGGGTGTGGTGGTGCATGCCTGTAATCCCAGCACTCAGGAGGCTGAGGCAGGAGGATCGGTGCAAGTTCAAGGCCAGCCTGGGCTACAAAGTGAGGTCAAGACCAGTTTGAACAGCATAGTGAGACCCTGTCTCAAAAGGACAAAAAAAAAAAAAGTTCCAGTTATACCTGAGCGATTTAGTGACTTGAAACCTTGTCTCAAAAAAATGTTTTTAAATTAAAAAAAAAAAAAGTTCTTACAGAAGGGCTGGGGGTGGCGCCCAATGATGGAGTGCCCTGGGCAAATAAAAAGTTTCGTGTCCCGTGTGAGCTTCCCCCTCTGCATGTCACTTGACCCGCAGACCCACGCCGGGCCACCGCCAGGGCTCCAGAGGGTGACCGCCTTGGCAGGAGTCACGGGCATCTGCCAGCGTGAACAGCTTCCGGTGCGAGGGACCCGGGACGCGGGTCGCCAGGACAGGGAAGGGGCGCGAAAGGTTCGCGGTAAACATCCAGGAGCAAACCTGGCGAGCCGCCAAGCAGGGCTGGCGATGACAGTGGCTCTGCAGAGACTCCAGGCCACTTCCTCCGAGGAAGCCACGACAATGGTGTCCTTGACAATCCTCGATAAAATCTCATTTCTCCCGACCCGCCTTAAGTAAACACGGACGCTCGGGGACCGTGGGGGGACGGGACGCGGGCAACCCCGTGGCACCAGCGGAAGCGGCCCGAAGCCGTCACGGTGGAGAGCCGGGGCCACGTGCGCCGCCCTAACACTCCGGGCTCGTTAACTATGACTGTCACCAGGTTCACAGGGCGACAGGACCAAAACACCGCCTCACGCCGCATCCGGGGCAGGAGCGCCGGGCCCGCCCCTCCCCGCCCAGCTTCGGCGTATCCCGCGCCGCAACGCCCAGAAGTCCCGCCTGGATCTAGCCTCCAGCCACTCCTTTCCGACCTCGGCTTCTCTCCCGGCTTTTCCCGCGCGCCGAGTCCCGCCTCCAGCCTTCTCGACTTATCCCGCCCCGCGTCTCGCACGAGCCCCGCCTCCAGTGTCTTCTCGACCTATCCCGCGCCCGACTGTTGGCGCACTGCTCTGACGTCAGGGTCGGCGCGGCGTGCGCGGCGTGCGGCGCGCTGCGTCCTCCGGCCCGGCGGCCATGCCCAAGCGGGGCTGCCCCTTCGCGGATGCAGCCCCGCTGCAGCTCAAAGTCCGCGTGGGCCTGAAGGAGCTCAGCCGGGGCGTGTGTGCCGAGCGGTACTCGCGGGAGATCTTCGGTGAGTGTGGGCGCTGCGGCACCAGGCCGCTGCAGACTTACTCAGCGGGCGCTGTCCCCTTAGCACCCTTCGCCGGGGGGTCCTGCCCAGTGGAGAACTTGCGGTCGGAGGGGCAGAGCGGGGTCGGGAAGCGGGGTCGGCTCCCGGGGTCCGGAGCGGCGGAGCCCTTCGCACGCGGAGTCCAGACGGAGCGGTGTCACGGGCTTCTCTCCGGGTTAACCAGCCCCCGGCGAGATGCGGAGTGAGCTTCTCCTCTCTAGCGGTTTATACCTAGGACACAGAGATGACCCGGAGCGCTTGTGAGTGGTGCTGCTGTGCATTTGGGACGCGGGAGAGCCAGCTTTCAGAATCAAAGACTCCTCCAGGCTCTGCCCGCTACTTTTCCCCTACTGTGCCCCTGCTGTGCCCTCTCTCCCCGGGCGCTGGTGTTCCAAACGCAGATGGGCTCCCAGGCCGTGCGGGTGACCAAGTGAGCGGTTCCCAGGTGATCAGCCTAGGAACCGTGGCTGGCCTGCAAGTCTGAGCCTTCAAAAACGTAAACACTGTTATCAAAAAGAATGAAGTAGCATCGAGAAGTTGCCTGTCTCCACTTTGTCTTTGTCGTGGAGCAGCAGCGGCGTGTCCCTCAGGGCCGGCTTGGCAAGGCCGAGGGAGGCAGCGGTAGGTGGCTGGTGTAGGGGCAGGCCTCAGCCAGCCTGTTTCCACCGTCCTCAGCGTCTTGCATCTCCATCCTGGCTGTTTTGGAGTGAGCACAGCTGGGACTGGCGCCCGATATTTGCGTTTGTGAGGGTCCTTAGGCTCCTCGTGTAGCTTGGTGGTGAGCACTGCTCCTAGCTGCCACTTCAGCTCCCAGGCATGGGTGTGTGTCAGAGCCTCAAAGGTCTGGGAGGCTGTGGGATTCCTTGGTCAGGACCTGCTGTCTCCTGACCGGAGGTCCCTCTGGTGGGTGCAAAGGGTGCACACTGGCCTGGGGTTTTAGGCGCAGCTCTAAGCCTTTGGGTGCTTTTGATCATTACTGTTCTTAGTGCTTCAGGGTACAGAGCTTACTCTGCATGATTCTCCCACTTGAAGGAGGGAAAGTGGTGGGAAGGAACGGTATGCAAGCCCAGTGAATTGAGGGCAGTGAGCAGACCAGTAGAGGGAGCCTCTGGATCAAGCGCAGGCAGGGCTGCAGGATCCAGAACCTACCTGAGCCACATGGCAGCTGAGCCAACTGAAGCAGGGAAGGAAGAGCATTTTCAGCATGGAGGCAGAGTGGGCCAGGGCGACAGGCACAGAGGTGTACGTTGTACCGTCTGGTGGGTCGTGGGGTGACTGTGTGAGGGCTTCATGGCTGCACAGTGGAAACTTAATGAGAGGTCTGTGTTCCCCAGAGAAGACCAAGCAGCTCCTTTTCCATGGGGCCCAGGCCTGCAGAGACCATGTGTGGGGTGAAAGCTGTGCCATTGTCAACCTGCCAGAGTCCCCAAAGCCTGGCCCCACGGAGACGCCTCGCGCCGCAAGGGGCCAGATGCTGATTGGACCCGATGGCCGACTGATCAGGAGCTGCGCCCAGGCCTCCAAAGCTGGTAAGTGGCCAGTGGTCTTGTGGCTATGATGTTGAGGGCAGTGGTGGAAAAGTGGTCTGCTTGGTACTTTTCCCCACCTTGGCAAGCAGGAATCCCACCCAGAGTCTAACACTGGGTGAATGGCAGGAAGGTGAGAAGCTTCCTGTTGGGTGGAGGTTGTTAAACAGCTCCTAACTCTGGAGCTAGAATAGAAGCAGAGGCTCCACAGGTACGCCACCTGCAGCTCCTGAGCCTTGTAGAGGGGAGCACATTGGCCAGGTGGTTCTGTGGCCTTGGGGCTCTGGGGCCAGGGGGCAGGTTAGCAACAGCTGACAGTTTCATCCCCAGGTCTGGTCTCTGGCCTGGGAGGGTCCAGGCGCTTTTGGCCAAGCAGTGGCATGGTGGGGCACCCTGAAATAGAGAGCACAGAGATTGATAAAGCAGTAGCAAGAGCTGTTTGTTTGGGTTCTAGGTGGTGGTAGCAATGCTGATCTGGAGTTTCACCCTGTATTTCTAGTTGAATAGGATCTAGATGCTATACTTGATCTGTGGGCTATTTAAAGGACTCAGTGGTAGAAGGATTGGAGCTCTCTGCCTTCACTTTCAGAAAAAAACAGGTGGTCCTTCCAGCCTCCTTCCAGGGCTGACAACCTGGTGTTTCTTCCTCACAGACTTGTCTGGGGCAGCATCCCGCACCTGCTCATCGTGTGTGCGAGCTGTGGATGGGAAGGTGGTCTGCAGCCAGTGTGAGCGGGCCCTGTGTGGGCAGTGTGTGCGCACCTGCTGGGGCTGCGGCACCGTGGCCTGTGCCCTGTGTGGGCTTGTGGAGTAAGTGCCTTGGTCCATGGAGCCATCCCTCCTGTCCTTCTCCCCAGCATGTTCAGGAGCCTCAAGATGCCCTTTAGAGGACTAGTGGCTCCTCTGTTGGTGCCGTTGCTTAATGGGATGGGACACGATGGTCAAAGATGTTTTGCCTACCTTTATTTTCCAAAGATTCAGTGATCCTTTCTAAAGGAAATCCAAGTTTCACAAGTCAGCTGCTGTCTCTAGGGCCTCCTGTCTTAAAGTACCTCTTTGGTCTTCTCCACCATCACATTTAGGACTGGGTAGCCAGCACTTTCTCATGGATTTGCTTCCCCTGTATTGGGGAATGACTGACACAGGGGAGCAAATGCGCACTGCAGTTATGTGGCACGCAGGGTTTGTTTGTAGGGTTATCAGTTGTTTCTTAACTCCCTTCATGGCTGTCAGGGACCCACCTTGTTCAAGACAGCGCCCTGGGACACATGTACAGGGGTCCACCCCATCCCCTAGGGTGGACAGTGCAGAGCACACATGGAATGGCTCTGTAGATCTGAACAAGTTTAGACCCAAGAGGTGGTAAAAGTAGCTATGTAAAGTTGAAAACCATGTCTCGCATAGAAAGCCCTTCCCCTCAAGGCACTCTTCAGTTGGAGATTGAGAAAGCGGGGTGGTGGGGGACAGGGAGAAGTGCTGAGTGGGGGATGCTGTAGGGTAAACTGGATCCCCATGACCAGGTGCCTAGGTGATTCAGACTGGCCATTTGAGGACTGAGCCTGAGGCTAGTTATGAAGGTGGGGTACTCTGCCTTCATGTGGGTCTCACAGCCTAGCTGATGTTTCTCCTGACGGGTAAACGGGAAGGGGCAGGGACTTCCCAGCGTCATCTTCCTGCGGAGGAAGCGAGCCCAGAGCAGGGTGAGCTGATTGGAGCCACAGGAGCCCTCCAGCCCCGTGTGGCTGGATTCAGGGTCTTCTACTCTCCCTGACACTGGTGTCCTCACACCTCTGCTTTCTGCTTCTTCTTCCCCAGGCACACGCTGGTGTCCAGGGGCCTCTGACTTCCCTTGTGACATGCTCTTCTCGTACCACAGCCCAGGAGGTCAGCTCTCTGCACTGCTTTACAATTAAGTGACTTGCTTGGAGTCAGTGGCCAGAAGTGGTGTCCTCAGGCTTGGGAGCTGGGCCTGTGCCCTGCTGTCTCATTCAGGCACACCCTGGCTTTTGGGGTCAGGACCCTGACTTCTAGGAGTGTTGGGAAACAAGGGTTTCTCGAGTGTGGCTCTAGTTTACCTGAGACCTGGCCCAGCTGGGCACCAGTGTCCCACTTGGTGGCCCTGTATCCCCGCCTGCTGTCCTCCAGCTTACAGACCAGCTGCTGTGGCTGTTCATTGGCTCCTGTGCAGGGCTGTAGCCAGCAGCTCTGACTCTGCTCATCTCTGCATGTCCTTACTGTGGTCGTGCAGTGTATTGCTGCCATGTGTCCTGAAGTGTCCCTCCTGATTGGCTTTCCTGACAGTAGCAGGCTCCCATTGGAGCCTTGATCATCAGAAGTCACTGCTTCCAGTGTAACCTGTGAGTTCTAGGACATCGGGGCAGTTCCCGGGGAAGGCACCATGAGTTTGCAAGGCTTGAATCAGGCTCTGCTGGTCAGCTTAGATGGCAGAAATGCACTGTCACACTTCTGGAGGCCAGAAGTCCAAGGCAGGTCCCAGCAGAGTGGTATCCTGTGGAGGCTGTGAGGGAGAATATTCTAGAGCTCCTGCTGGCATCGCTGGCTCCCAGGAATCCTTGATATACTGTCAGTGGCCATATTCTCCCTTTGTCCTCATGTTTTTCTCCCCGAGTAGCAATCTCTTTAGGGTACTGTTGTAACAGTGTCAGGGTGACATCCTTTCTGATCATATTTGCTCACCCAGTGGGGAAAAGAAGAAAAGCCCCGGCTTCTGAGCCACAGCATGCATTTGAGCTGGGTCGCCCCCGGCAGGATGTTGTTCCCAAGCACCCCTGAACCACCATTGTCACAAGAGCCCATCTACAAATAAGGGCATGTTCTGAGGTGTCCTGGGTGTGGGCGCCAGTGGCCCAACGGGGCATAGTCAGCCCTAACACAGCTCTTCTCTCTTCCCCTGCACGTGCAGCTGCAGCGATGTGTGTGAGAAGGTGCTGTGTAACAGCTGTGCCATGTTCGAAGCCTGAGGCCACATGTCCACGAGGAGCTTGTATATGTGTGTTTTGTACTTTGATGACAGAAGTGAATAAAGCCCTTTATATTTGCACATACAGACTCCTATCTGTCAAAGTGTAAGTGTGGAACCTGTCACAGCCCGGGGTCACCTGGGAGGGTGATGGTGACAGCAGCAGAGGCATCCTGCAGCCCCCTTAAAGCACATGCCCTGCTTGTCCAGCCGTGCTTCGTCCTGGTCTCACCAAGCAAGCACGAGCCCCACTCGAACTACCTGGCTCCAGAGAGCATCAGTGTCCTGGGCTTCCCCGGGGCAGGTTGTTCTGACACTCTGCCTGGAATGCTGCTGTCAGACACCTGGCTGTCACAGCCTGGTGTGTTGTGTGCTTTCTTGGTATCTAGTGGCCTGGGCCTCAGGTGACTTGACAGCCCTTGCGTACAGGAGCTGTGGTATAGCAGGGGTGGAGCCTGGGCTGGGGGCTGGAGGTCCTTGCTCCGTCTTAAGTGGCCATGGTTGCGTGGGCCCAAGGAATTGTTGAGGAGTTGAGGGGCCTGGAGGATGGGGTGGCTCCCCACACGTGCATCCCTGGGGGCTATCCTGAACAAGGTGGGCCCCTGGCCCCCAGTGGCTCAGTGGGGACTGGATATGCCATGCAGTCTGGGACCTGGGATCTGGGACTAGCACAGATTTGAGGCTGAGGGCAGGGAGCAGGGGAGAGCCTTCCCCACTGTGGCACTGAACACATCATCTAGGATCCAGGGCTAGTGACGTGGCTCTCAGGAAAGCCACTCCAGAGTGGGCTTTAGCCGGGGCCAGTGAGCAGGGGAGGGTGTCTGTGAATGGGCTTGTAGATTCTACATGGCTTTTCTAGACCTGGAGCATTCTGAGGCCTTTTGACTTAGCTGGCTTAAGCTCTGTGGCTGGTGGGTGTTCCATGCCACAAGCGTTGGAAGCAAGTGGCTCTGGTCACCCTGTGCCGGCAGTTCGTGGCAGAGCTCACTTTCCCTCTGGCCTCAGAGGCCCAGAGCCGCCTTCCAGTCTCCACCTGCAGATCTGGACGCCCACGCTGTGGCCATTGCTGTCGGCTCCCTGGCTGCCCTGTGGCTGCTCCCCTCTGTCCTCTGGTCTCCGCCCACCTGCTCGCCCTTGGTTCCTCTGCACAGCCTCCACCCCTGCAGCGCAGCTCTGTCCCTGCGGGCTGTGCTCTGCTGGCTTGTCATGTCCTTCCTGCCCCTGGGTGGGCTCGCCCCAGCATGCTAGGCTCTGGGCTCCTCCTCTCCCGTGGCTCTGCTCTGGGCAGCTGCAAGGCTCGCTTTCAGGCTTGGGCTGAGAGTGGCACCCACACCCTGGTGCACAGTTCCCATCCTTATTCCCTCAGCCCCTGCCTCACCACCAGCTGCAGTGGCAGTCTGGAAGCATTAGTGGCGCCTGGTGCACAGGTTTGTCACCAGTATCTGCTGGGTTATCCCACTGGCCTTAAAACAACTAAGAAAAGGCAAGTCATCTAGACTGTGGGCAGCAGCCCAGGGGCAGCGGAGGAACCCCAAAGCTCAGCATCCAAGCTGAGGAGACAGGATCAGAGCTGGGCCCCTGGGTCTGCACAATGAACACTGGAGAGGATGCTACCCTGTGCTAGAGGAGAGTCTGGAAGACGGCAGGAAGCAGGTCCTTTCCCAGCAGGGGACTGGGGGCCTCACCCTCCATGGGGCAGGGGCAGAGGCCACAGTACCTCGGAGCAGCTGCTCTGTCCCTCACAACAGCCAGCTGTTGCCAGTATTTTTTGTTTCAGTCTAACATCCAATAGGATAAAATGTACAAACCTGGTGCCTAGTAAAAACAACATGTGGAGAACAGGAAAATACACTTCACAGTGAGAAGGAAAACCATTCAGTAGGAAACCTGGGAGAGTTCAGGGCTAAAAGAACCAAGAAGGGGAGGAAATAAAAATGGCTGTCATAGCCATATTGTTTCTGTTCAGGATGGGCAGAGGAGAGGAAATGGATGAGAAATATAACAGTGGCCCAAACCAGGCATCCAGAGGTAAGAATGTGATGTCTGAGTTGGGAGGTACATTGGACAAGATCAAAAGCAAGGCTGAACACTGCAGAAGAAAAGATTCACAGGGCTGGGGATTTAGCTCAATGGCAAAGTGCCTGCCTGGCAAGCGCAAGGTCGTGAGTTCGATTCCTGGTACCGGAAGAAAAACAAAAACAAAAAAAAGAAACAAATAAAAAAAAGAAAAGATTCACAGCCAGAAGACAGCAGAAGTGGTCCAAAAGGAACCGGAAGCTGGGACTAGAAGTGAGTAGAGCTGGGCACAGTGGTGTGTACTTGTAACCCTAAAAGCACTTGGGAGGCTGAGGCAGGACTAGGAGACACAGGCCAGCCTGAACAGCCGCATAAGTGGTGAGATAACATTGGGTAGTCTGGCATGTGAGTGGGGCCGCTGTGTGAATGCAGGAAGGTTTTTGAAGAAATAATTGTTGTAAAGCCCCTAAATTTGATGGAATCATAAACCTACTTATCCAGGCAGCCCAGTGAGCCCCAAACAGAAACACGGAGAAAGTCGCAGGAAGACATATCATGATCAGATTCCTTAAAACCAATAAAAAAAAAAATCTTCAAACAGCTAAAGAAAACAGACTCTATTTTAGAGGAACCGAGATGGGGATGGAGCTCGGCCAGCTGGTGGGTGAGTAGCAACTGTAAAATGCAGTTTTGAAAGAGCTGAGGTCAGGGCATGGTGGCACACACCTGTGAACCCAGCACTCAGGAGGTTGAGGCAGAAGGAGTTTGAGGCCAGCCTGAACTGTATAGTGAGACTGTGCCTCAAAAACCAAAGAGAAGCTGGGCATGGTGGTGCACGCCTGTAATCCTAGCTCTCGGGAGGCTGAGGCAGAAAGATTGCTGCGAGTTTGAGTCCAGTCTGGACTACAAAGTGAGTCCAAGGCCAGCCTGAACTGCATAGTGAAACCATATCTCAAAAAGATGAAGGAGAAGAAGAAGAAAAGCCAGCCAGACTGGGATTGTGCGCCCAGTGCCCTAGCTGGAACGCAGTGTCCCTTGTGTCATTAGTGACAGAAAGTGGACTATGACAGGTGAAAGTATGACAGAAACGAAGGTGAAAAGAATTCAGGTGTGCCAGAGCCAAAAGAGCTCCTGCAGCTGTTGAAACGCAGCTTTCTAGGCACAGGAAGAGGGTAACAGATGGGAAGGAGGCGCGCCCTGCAGCTCAGTGCTGGTGGAGGGCAGGCCCTGGGAAGGGCTCTCCTTGTGTCCCTGACGTCCCTTACCGACTGCACATCAGGAACTCCTGCACTGAACAGTAAACAGCCCAGCTCAAAGATGGGTAAAGGCCTGGACTGGACATTTCTCCTCGGGAGGGAGGCAGACCGCCATGGCACATGGGATGCCCATCGTCAGGAAGCTGCGGGTCCCACCACAGGCTGGTACGCTGTCAGGGAGGCTGTAATGTGTTCCCAGTGGAGGCAGGCCATTCTTCAGGAAGCTACAGAGCTGCTGTGGGGCCCAGCAGCATTGGGGGATGTCACCAAGGAAATGACAACGTACAGCTGGGGCTGGCTTTTATGTATATATGAATATGTATATTTGTCCTTGACTTGTACGCCGATGTTTATGGCATCTCTCTTCTCCATAGCCAGAAAGTAGGAACGATCCAGCTGGCCATCATCTAGCACAGTAGGATGAACAAAGCCTACTATAAACGCAGAGAATGTTATCCCACCTTAAAAAGGACATTCTGACCCATGCAGGAGAAACCTAAAGGACGTGACACAAAAAAGCCAGACACAGAAGGACTAACCTGGCATGATCCCACCTGAGTGAGGTATCTAAAGTAGAGAGAGGAAGCAGAACGTGGGTGCCGGGGGCTGGGACGGAGAACCACCACGTAATGGCACAACTTTCATTTGGGGAGACCACGTTCTCAAGGTGACAGCTGACAGCATGTGAATGTATCAATGTCACTGACTGTGCACCTATACAAGTGGTGAATGTTTAAACGTGCACACATTTTACCACAAGAAAATATCATTAAAATAAGCAACTATTCAAGGCAAAAATGCAGACACTTTATTTGGAAGTTTGTAACATATTTGGAAACAAAATTCACGACAATCCCAAGGCTGAGAAAGGAGAAATGAAAGTAGATTGCTTTCAAGTTCTACACTGCTTGAAGGGGGGCTGTAACAAAAAATACCATAAACCCTGCAGCTGCCAGCCTGGGGATCCACATTCATTTATTAAATATTACAAATGCACATGGCACCTTGGAATAAAAAGGCAATGTGTGGTAAGCTGGTGAAATCCAGGCAAATAAGCCCATGAAGGAAATACAATGGGCTGACTTCAATTGCAGTTAATCTGAAAGGAGGTAGACAAGGGAAGGGGAACATGCAGGGCAGAAGGGGGGCAGGTGTGCATGTGAGCTCAGCCGTGCTGCCAGCCCCAGCACCATGCACAGTCCAAGCACCCACATTCCGGCCAGAGGCACCAGACTTTTTTTTTTTCAAACAAAAAAGCAAGATTCAACTACGTGCTGTCTGCAAGAAATTCACTTTAAAGAAATGAGTTACAAGAAAAGGATGGAAGCTGGGCATGGTGGCGCATGCCTGTAATCCCAGCACTCGGGAGGCTGAGGCAGGAGGATCTTTGCAAGTTTGAGACCAGCCTGGGCTACAAAGTGAGTCCAAGGCCAGCCTGAACTGCATAGTGAGACCCTGTCTCAAAAAAAAGGATGGAATAAGCCTCTGCCAAGTGATAAGCCCAGCCTTTGAGCAGGCATCTCCTGGCAGGGGCATTTTCTGGGGGAGCAGGCAAAACCTTGACACCTCCTGACACTCCCGGTCACCCGTCACCTGGACCTGCAGAGCCTGTGGTCACACCTGTTGAGACATGGGATGGGCCAAGGCTGATGCCACTCGCTTTCTTCCTGTCCCTTCTGAGCCTGCCTCGTGCTGGGAAGAGTGGGGTGTGGGTGTGTTGGGCACGAGAAGAGCTTCATCTTTGGCAGAACCCCGTGCAGCCTCCCTGGCTGCCCTGCCCTGCTGCCCCTCCCTGCACGCCAGGATGGAGCTGCCCCTCACATGGCACCTACACCCTCTTCCGCTGCTGTGTCTTGCTGTGGACCATTCTGTCCGAGCAGTGGGCAGGTCAGGGTGGGCTGAAAGTGTCTCCGTTCCTGCATCCATTCCCGATGACTCTGGACTGTGGAACTGACCCCAAGGGCTCTCGTGGGAGGGGCAGCTTGTGCCTCTCCAGCAATGGTCCAGCCCTGGCTACAGCTGTCTCCACTTTCACTCCTGTTAGCCACCTTTTCAGTGAGGTTTTGCTCAAAGTTGGAAGGTAATGCAAGGGCACTGCGTAGTCTGGTTTCTGCCATGCTGGTTTTGTAGATGTAAAATCGGGTTGTCTCCTCTCCAAAGCATTGTCCAGTGTGTAACACTGCAGGTGTATTCTCCACAAAGCTGTATAAGGAGTCAGTGGTGTGGCCTGTAGCACACAGCCTGGTAGAACTGAGGACCAGGAACACCCAGAGACTTTAGCTACCCCCAGAGGCCCAGCCTGTCATCCTCCCCACCAGTGGGCACGGAACGAGCCCCCTTTGTCCACCCTGTGGGGAGTGGAGCCCATTAAGGCAAGGCCTTGGCCCCACCTCTGCAGTCTGACTCCAGTTGTACCCCGCCAGGCACTGACCAAGGGGCTCCAACTGTACACCCTGCAGGCTGCTGGTTCTAGGTGCTTTGTGGGTACCTGGGCCCCCAGCTGTTCCCCCACAGCTCTTGGCCCTGCCACGTCCCAGTTCTTCCTGGTGGCCAGGGTCTCACTCCCGTCCCTGCAGGTCGGACAGCAGCTGGGGCTGGCAGCAGCCCAGACAGCCACCGTCTGTGCCCCCTGGTACGTTCTGCTGGAAGCTGCCCCGTGCCACAGGACAGAGGCTTACCTCAGCACAGGCCCTGGCCTCAGCCCCTCATCCCCCAACACCCAGCAAAGCCAGCCACAAACTTGAAAAGCAATTTTTATTGAAGATTTGGAGGGAAAGTTTCATATTATAATAGTAAAAATGCTAAAGTTGAATGTTGTAAAAAATGGCATGGTGCAGCAGCGGCCAAGTCTGGCCAGGAGAGGGAGGGCCAGGCAAGAGATCAGAAGTGAAGCTGCGAGAGCAGAGTGCAGAGAATCATCCGGGGTAAAGAGGCCGGAAGGGGGCTCCTCGGACACAGTGGGGGAGGGGCTTTCCTGTCGCTGAGATTTCACTCCCGAGGCCTGGGAATGGCAAGGTACACAGCTCTGTCCTGCAGGTGAGCCCTGGCCCACCTCAGCCTATCCCAGCCCATCTGAGGGTAGCTCTGAGTATGTCCTCAGAGACATGGCCCTACTGCAAGGGCTGCTTTGTGCCCTACCTGGAGGGTGCCAGCCAGTGTGCCCCAGTGAAGCTGCTCCTGGTGCCGCAGGTGGGACGAGTCCCTGGACCCCAGGTGGGGGCAGTCAGATGCATGGCCAGACAGGGTGGTGCAGGACCTACCCAGACCCGCCACCCCACTGCAAGGGATGCAGAGGTCCTTAACGTTTCCTACATGAGTGTAATTGTTCTGAGGGCAGAGGCCACGTTTGGAGAACAGATTGGATGAAATAAATTAAAGAGAAACCGCAGGACAATTTTTCTCTTGACCTGGCCAGGTGGCAGGACACCATCCCAGCAGGAATGTCCTCCCCTGCCCGGGAGGCCGGCGTGTCTCCTCCCAGTGCATCTGGGAAATCAGCTGTCCAATGCAGGGCATCTGTTGGAGGCTCCAGATCCGGCATGCAGTACGCTGCAACCCTCTGCCGGGGGGACCCTCAGGCCGTGCCACTGGCAGAGTAGGAGAACTGCGGGAAGTGTGGCCTCCGTGCGCTGTCTACACATCCCATGCTGTCGTCTGCAGGGAAGGACACGCCTCAGACTGCAGCAGCCCACCCGCCACGCGGCAGGGGAAACTGAGATGGGGCTGTGGCCCCGCATGGTGACAGCAGCCCTCAGAACCGGGACCACCCTGAGCACCACCGCCCTTCACAGGCTTGTGAAGCATCTCAAGCCGCCAGGGCAGCTGTCTGCAGTCCAGAGTGCACAGGCAGGTGGGCTGGCGTGCAGGGCCCCTCACCTTGGTCAGGTGGAGTGATGGTGATCATCTGGGCTGTGAACTCTTCATCAAAATACCTGGTGTCGGTCTCCGAGGTGACCTGTGGCTTGAAGGGCGGGCTGAGCTGCAGGAGGCACAGCAAGCACTGGTTACAGGCCCTGCCCCCCCACTGAGGAGATGTCAGCCCTCAGTGCCCAGACTCCAGCGCCATCCTGAAAGGGGAGCAGTACGGGGTGGGCGGCCAGGGGAGCTGTGCTCACAACTCCTCAGATGGAAGAGGACCCCCCACCCCATGAAAGACAGGTCCCTCCTCCTGTGTTCCTCACAAGCCTGCCTAGGAGCAGGTGCACAGGGTGAAAGCCCTGTCTGCCGGCAGTGGGTGGTGTGCTGGGCAGGAGTCGGGTGGAACGGAACCCAGGACCCAAGCAGGACTGCCTCCTGTGGGGTAGGGCCAGAGAGGGAGGCTGATCCAGAGGGACAGGACAGCTGGAACTTCCCCTCTCAAGCACATCCTGCAGGACCCAGGGTCGGACCTGTCCCCTTGAAGGAAGGAGCCTCAGAGGGCCCACAGGCGAGGACCCCCACACACTGTCCTGGAGATTGGTGCTGCCCAGTGGACTTGCAGGCTCCTTGGTCACAGCTGGGCAAGAGGGGAGCACTGTCCTCATTCCCTACCCTTGAAGGCAGGGCCAGGAAGCTGGGTAAGGACCTGGGGGCCCTGCCCACCACTGTGGCCTGTGATGGGCACTCAGGTGGACACCAGCAAAGGAGTGCTTAGTGGCAGGGCACCAGTACCCACTGAGAGACCAGGCCCCTCAAGGGCAAGAGCAGGGCGCACCCACCATTGACAGAGCAGAGTGGTTCCCTCCCCTGAGCACCTGGGGTGTGATGGGGCACAGCTCCTTGAGGAGGAGGGGTGGAGAGGCCTGGGCCAGCTTCCAGGAACCCCACAATCAAGCACAGGCAGCGGACTGCAGGGAACTCCCCTGCAGACGAGTGTGCTGGCGAGGGCACGCATGCATGCCACTGTGTGGCTGAGTGGGGGAGTGTGGCACCGAGTGTGACAGGGCAAGCGCACACGCGTGTGAGGGCGTGGCACGGTGGGGAGCGTGGCACCGAGTGTGACGGCAAGCGCACACGCGTGTGAGGGCGTGGCACGGTGGGGAGCATGGCACCGCACCTTCTTCTCATACACATCCTGCCACACGATGCTGGCGAAGAAGCGATGCTGCATGATCTCCTTGGCATCCTCGGAGCCCCCGCCGAGCCTGTGGGGACACGGCCCAGCTCAGCACGAGCCCCGGCCCCGCCCTCCTAGGTGTGCCGGGCAGGGGTGCACCTCTGCTTGGGGTCCTTCTTGAGCAGCCCCGAGAGCAGCGACTTGGCCTCGGGGCCGAGCGTGCGTGGGAAGCGGATCTCCTCCATGAGGATGAGCTCGAACAGCTTCTCGTGGTCCTGGTTGTAGAAGGGCAGGCGGCCACACATCATCTCGTACATGACCACGCCCAGCCCCCACCAGTCCACAGCGCGGCCATAGTCGTTGTCCTCTAGCACCTGCACGGGGACTCAGAGTCACAGTGCGCTGGGGCACAGGGCGGCGGGGACAAGTGAACGGTGGGGGTGGCGTACCTCGGGCGCCAGGTACTCAGGCGTCCCACAGAAGGTCTTCATGGTGGCACCGTCCTTGATGCCCTCCTTGCAGAGCCCGAAGTCCGTGATCTTGATGTGCCCGTCCTTGTCCAGCATGAGGTTCTCCAGCTGTCAGGAGGCCCGGGCGTCAGCACCACTGGCTGGGCCCTGCCTGCCAGCCCACCTGTGGGGCACAACCTGGGGCCCCACCTTGAGGTCCCGGTACACCACGTTCTTCTCGGAGTGCAGGTAGTCCAGGGCCGACACGATCTCCGCGCCGTAGAAGCGGGCCCGGTCCTCAGAGAACACGCGCTCCCGGGACAGGTGGAAGAAGAGCTGTGGGAGGGGACACTGAGGGGCCACAGGGGAAGGGGCCACCCGCCACCTGCAGACAGGACAGGGCGGGGCCAGCCCAGGCAGTCCTGGAGACCCTAACTTGGCGAGTCCAGGGCACCATCCTGTACCCCTGCCAAGCCCACCCACGCATCTCTGCCACAGCCGCCTGAGTGCTGCACCCTGCCTACCTCGCCCCCATTGGCATACTCCATGACGAAGCAGAGTCGGTCATGGGTCTGGAAGGAGTACTTCAGGGCCTGGAACAGAGCACAGCTGGAGCTGCGGCCCTCCACGAGCGCATGGACAGATGGAGGCCATGCACCCCCAGCACCAAGTGGCCCACAGGCACCAAGGTGTGTTCTAAAGATGAGCTATGGGGGTCTGGGTTCACATCCAGGAGAACACTGGGACCTCAGAAGTAGTGCACCAGGTGCTGGGGCCACTAAAACTGAAGGGAAGTCAAGATTTCCCACCGTGATGCTGAGCTGTCTGGCCGCCTTTACCTCAGAACACAGACAGCCTCGTCCAAGGAAGGCCAGCAATGGCTGGTCACCCCTAAGTGCTGACCCTCGAGCTAAGGAACTGGCTGGACGGGGGCCTCCCCTGGATGTGGACACCCAGCACACTTCCCTCCTGCAAGGAGAGGTTTGCAGAGGTGTGGGCCTCCCAACCCTTGGGAGAGTGGGTAGAGACCAACATCACCAGCCCTGCGGCTGCACGCTGGGCTCAGCAAGCACAGCCCATGGCCTGCATCCAACACCATCGTGCTCTGCCTGTTATGGGCCACATCTGAAGCATCCTGCACCAGCCCATTGTGAGCGGCCCCACTCACCGTGAGGAAGGGATGCCTGGAGTTCTGCAGGACACGGTTCTCAGTAAGGGTGTGTGCCACCTCATCCTGGAAGGCAGGATCAGCTGAGTGCCCGCCCACTGGTCTGCTCCTGCCTGCCTGCCTGCCCACCTGCCCCGTGCTCACCCGTACCTTGGCCACAATGACCTCCTTCTTGAGGATCTTCATGGCATAGTAGCGGCCTGTGGCCTTCTCCTTCACCAGGATCACCTTCCCAAAGGTGCCCTTGCCCAGCAGCTTCAGGTATTCAAACTCGTTCATGGTCTGTGGGCAGCAGGCAGCACCGGTCAGTGCCCCTGTGCTCCACACCTGCCCATGGGGCAGACACTTGCCCAAAACCCAGAGGCTGCACAGCGTCACCCACAGCAGACTGGGAGGCAGGGTGCAGGCGGGTCTGCAGGGTCAGCAGGACTCCAGTGATCCCCCAAGCCCCTCAGATCCAGGCCACAGCCAGGAAGCCAGGTAAGGACCCTGAGCCCCATGGGGGGAGGGCGAGTCCGAGCTTTACCACTCGGTGCTTGGGCTTGGCCAGGGACACCTCCATCTCCTCAGCCCCTGAGTTGTCGCTGGGCGAGCCCGACTGGAACTCCATCAGCTCCTCCTCCTGCCTCTTGAGCCCATCAGCTACCGTCTGGATGGCAGTTGTCCACTCCTCCCTGCAGGGTATCAGCTGAGTCACCTTCACCCTTGGCTGGTGCAGCAGCCCAGACAGACCCCCAGTAGCCACCCAGAACCTGGCCTCCACACAGTCTGAAAGCCTCTGGATGCTGGGCACACGAGGTCCAGCCCCACAGCGGGCACCTCAACCCACCGTTTCCACTGCTGGCTTTGGCTTTCCCAGCCACCTGCACCACACGGTGGGACAGAGCTTGTTTCTAGAATGGACCGAGGATGGCCACAAGCAGCAGGCACCACAGCCCCTACCCCCATGTCCATCTCCAGCCCCAGGACTACTGCCCACAGCAGGCCCACGCCCCACCTACGCACCGCTCCTCGGGCGTCTCCACGTGGAACGTGCGCTCGATGACGGTGGTCCACTGCAGGCAGCGGATGATGAAGGTGTTGGGCCTGGGCCGCTCCGTCTTCATCAGCTGGCATTCTGAGGACGTGGCCGGGGGAGCACCTTCTGCATCCTCTGCCCTCCTCGCCCCAGCCACGTCCGTAGGAACCCCACCTGGTGCCAGGAGGCCATCCCAGGTCCTCTCCAAGCCTGTTCCCCTCATAAACGGGGCTCAGCCCTGCTGCAGCTGAGATGCCCTGTCCTGAAGGTGGGGCATCCCCAAGAGACCCCCTCCCACGGCCCTTCCTGCCTTTGCCTCTGAGCCCTCAACTCATGCCAGGTCTTGAAGAGTGAGGGGCATTGAGGTCCCAGAGCAGGACTGGGATGCAGCCTGCCCTGTCACAGCTGGTGTACAAATGTCAGCAGCTTTGCCAAGCACAGCTGGAGCACCTGGAGAACATACATACCTGGAGCACACACACACACTTAAAGCATAGACACTGAAGCACAAAAACCTGCAGCACACACCTGGAGTAGCTACACACCTAGAAGACACAGCTGCAGCACATCCTCCTTGAGCACACACACCTGAAGCATGTACACCTACAGCATGTGCACACATGCACCACACACCTAGAGCATATGCACACCTGAGGATAATGCACACCTGGAGCACATGCACACCTGGGCCACATGTGCACCTGTGGCACATGCACACCTGGGGCCCACACGCCCCTGGGACTCATGCACACCTGCAGCACACCAGCCACAATGGATAGATGGTGAGGACAAAGCAGTCCTGAGGAGTGAGAACTGCGTGTGCAGAGAGTTTCTGGGCAGGGCTTGGAGTGTGGGGCCAGCAGAGGGGCCTCCCACATTCCAGCACTGGGGCCCTGGCAATGTGAGGGGCTGGCAGGGCTCCACTGAGTGAGTAAGGGGGCACCTGCCAGGCCTGGGGGCCTGGAAGGGCCCTGGGGCGAAGTTCTCTGGGGAAGGCCTGTGCAAGTATCAGGCATGGAAGGGTAGAACACCTGCTTCCTCCAGGACAGCCTGTTGGAGGTCACCAGACGGGATACAACGTCCAGCGCTGGGGTTCTGGTGCCACACAAACCAGAAGCCACCCTTGGGAAAGCCCTGGTCACGGAGGCCGGCACAGCCACCCTGTCCTACTCCACTGCACACCCTGGCTGGTGCCACCACCTTCCTCCTGCAGCCCCTGGCCTGCTCACTGCACAGGCAGCCCCTGCCCCAGCTAGTGCGCTTCCAGAGTTGCCCTCCTGCCCACCACACTCACTCTGGGGCGTGCTCCAGATGCCTCACCCAGCAAGGCCCGCTCCCCAGCCATGAAGGCCCCGGCTCTGATCAGGAGACACTGGAGAGAGCTTGGGTCAAGACTGCCAGGGGCTGGGTAGCTGCCTCCTTGGTCTCTCCCATCCTGAGGGGTCCCTGACTATCAGACCACCCTGCCACTGCTGGGCCTGAGGCTGGAAGAGCCACAGAGGATGAACTTAGGGTTCAAAGGAACTGGGTCCAGGTAAAGCCCCCAAGAAGCCCTTCAGCCTGGCCTCACAGGGCAGGGTCTGCTCCTTCCAACTGGGCAGCTGGGGCTCATGGCGTTGGCTGTGACCTCTTCCTCAAGCATGGCCCAGGGACACAGGATTGGCGATAGTACAACAGGGTGCCAGAACCACCCCTGCTCCTCCTCCTGCCTGCAGATCCCACGGCTGCAGTTGTCTACACCTAGCCTGGGCCCAGTGTGGTCAGGGGAGCCGAAGGACCCCAGGTCTCAGGCAGGACAGGCAGAGCTACTTAGAGGCTGGGTGCATAAGAAGGTGCCATACGAAGGTGCAACGCAGGACCAATATAGTGAGCACTGCACTACATCCCAAGCTGCATCCCCAGGCCAACCCCAGAAGTCTGTCCTTGGCATCCCACCCCTCACAGATGTCCCACAGCCAAGCCCTGATCAGCACTCAGTCACCCCATACACTGGCCCTGTCCTGGGCCAGCCCCAGGTGAGCAGCAGTGACAGAACAGGGACCCAGCATCCCGCATGCCAGGCCCACGTGGGCAGGGCTTCCTGGACACAGTCCTCGCCCACGTGAGGGAGACAAAAGGACCCATGGGCACGGAGGACCTCAAGAACCTTTACAGGGGGTGGCAGAGGCTGAGAGCTGGAAGCCCCCCAGCACCACGCCTGCCCTGCCCACGGGGTCCCCATGAGACCTGATGGGCCCCGTTTAGCGCAGCCCCACATGCCAGAGCCTCCAGCTTCCAAACAAGAACCCCAGGGCGCAGCTCCATCCTGGCCAAGCCCGAGCTGACCATGCAGTCCCAGAGGTGACCCAGGAGCCAGCACTGCCCAGCCTGCTTCCTGGGACACAGGCCAAGGGGACCTCAGCAGGGGCCTGGCACACAGAGGGCTCCAGCAGTCCCTGCCCATACATCCCTGCTCCAACCCAGGGTGACCAAGAGGACACTTACGTGCCACGGAGAAGTTGTTGAGGGGGGACTCGCGCTGGTCCACATCCTGCGGCCGTTCCTTGTAGCCGATGAAGGTGCCATCATTCTTGAGGAGGAAGTAGCGCGGCCGCCAGGTCTTGATGTACTCCCCTGCGGGCAGGCGGAAGGGCTGTGCTGAGCACACTGCCTGGGCGGGCCAAGGAGGGGCACTGGGCCGGAGACAGGCGCTCTGGGGAGACAGGCACTGCGAGGGCCCAGCTACACTGCCAGGGCTCCAGACAAGAGCTCTGTCAAGCACCCAGGGGCCGCCAAGTGGTGGCTGCTAGTGGTAATGGCGGGTGTGGCTGCCGCCAAGACCGGCCCCTGCCTGAGGATGAAGCCTGTTTGCGGCAGGGTGGGGGACTCGTGGCTCACGCTGGCCTGTCTGCAGCCTGCCAGGGCTGGGCCACAGGGCACCCACCTATCTGGGACAGCACTGCCGGCCCAGGGCCAGGGTGCCCCTCCACCTGTGGAAGCAGACCAGGGAGGCTCCCGCAGTCTGGCACCAAGACCGGCCCAGGCCTAGCCTGGGTCAGCCAGGTACACCGCAGCATTTCCCTCCAGTTCTGCAGCATCAGCCTCACACAGGCGCTCAGAGTGGGGATCAGAGCAGATGTCCTCTGCGATCTCCGAGCGACTGTCATTTTTCACACTGACACCCGGAAAAAATGTTTCATTTACATTTTGCCGAGCAAGGAGTCTGAACAACAGGGAACTTACTAATTAGGCAACTTCTTCATCTGAGGGGACACTGGGCAGAGGGTGGCGTGGGACCAGCCCACAGGGCAAAAGCCTGGACGGGGGTCAGGTGTCCACCAGGCCAAGCCCTGGACCTGGAGGGACAAGCAGACAGCGATGGCTCGGTCCCACGCACAGCCCAGCCCCCCAGGCACAAAGCAGGTCAGTACAGCCAGGTACCGGGGGCAGGCACTCTTTCCAGGTACACAGGCGTGTGGGGCCAGGCAGCACCTCGACTTCCTGTAGCCCCGGAGACTGGCCAGCCCTGCCCATCTGCGGTCCTTCCGCAGGCCAGGCCACTCCTTGGTGTCCCGGGTGGGGACCCAGGCTCAGCCCTCAGCCCCAGCCCCACCCTCTGTCCAGGATGCAGGTCACAGAGGCTCCTCCCAAGCCCCGCCCTTCGCCCAGGCCAAGCCCACCTCTACTCTGCACCACCCTGGTCAGCAGGAGATGCACAGGACACACAAGTGCCTGCCCTGCAGGGCCTGAGTATGCATGGGGAGGCTCCAGGTTACCCTGATGCGGGCTGAGAGAGGGTGACCAGAGGCCCCCAGGCTGCCCCAGCCCAAACACCAACAGGAAGAGCTCCCTGTCTGCAATGCCCCGTGACTTTCTGAACAATGCAGGGGTTTTTCTGAGGGGACAGACCCTCTTGCTGCTGCCCTACAGCACACCTGTGGCCACCAAGGCACCTACAGCCGAAACCTGGGCCCTAGGATTGCTAGGGCCTGTGACCATCACCCAGCAAAACCCACTTGAGCAGGATTGGCATCTGCATCTTGCCCAAGTGCACAAACCAGGGTCCACAGTCCCCGTGGATACACAGGCCCCATGGACACTGGCTCCAGCCCACTCCATGCACACCTGCCAATCACACCTACCACGTGGCTCCACCCAGCCCCCAGCCCGGATGCCGGGCCTAGCTGTGCAGCACAGGCAGGAGGTAGAGGAGCAGAGCGAGCAGGGGGCACCCACCCGCCTGTCCCGGCCCGCCCGCCACGAATGCCCACCCGCCGGCACCAGTCTGGAGCTGTCGGCCCCTGATGGAGTGCCTCCCATCTCGCCAGCTGCCGCTCCCCGGGACACTAACCGAGCGGGGCGGCTGATGAGTACTGCGCCCGTGCGCCCCGGAAATCCATCTTGCTCTACCAACTGCTGCCCGCTCCTATCACAGCCCCCTACCACACCAGCACCCCGCCCACCCAGTAGAATTGCAACCTGATCCCAAATCGGCCTCCTCCCAGCTCCAGCTCTGCCAGCCCAGCCCCAGCACCTAGATGGGCTCCACTGGGCCAGCTATTCCAGGAGCAGGGCCTGGGGTGCAGGCTAAAGCAGCCCTCACTGGGAAAGAATCAGCCCCCCAAGAGAAGGGCCAGGAAGGCCCAGGAGTCTGGCGTTGGAATGGGCCTCACCCCTTTGCCTACGGGGCCCAGCACCTGGACCCCTCCAGAGGAAGGACAGGGCCCTGCACCCAGGACCAGCTTGGAGACAATCTCTTCATCTCCCGCCTTCCAGCTGAGCCAGGCGGTCATTGGGGTGGGGGCAGCTGCAGCCTGAGCTGTGGCCGGCATGTGAACGAGTTCAGCCCAGACAGACAAGAGGCAGGCCAGCAGCTCAGACTATGGCCCTGGGTCCCAGCCCCTCCAGGACTGGAAGAACCCGCAGGAGTGAGTGGAGGGGCAGCCACAGAGGTCGCGTTGGGGTCACAGTGGGTGGGACAGGCAGGAAAAGACTGGCCCACAAGGCTCCCCTTTGTCCTCAGTGTCTGTGGAGGTGAACCTATCTGGCCTGACTCCCCTACCCTGGGCAAGCTGGCTCCAGCTGGGAACTTGTGCAGTCAGTAGCCCTCGGGGACACGACCCACATGGAGACCACAGAGCCCAGCCTCCATCCCAAGTGCCCTGACCAGGCCATGCTCCGGACAGATGCAAGCAACAGACAAAGGACAAAGCCAAGCCAACCTCCAAGGACGCTGCCCTCCACCGGGCCCCACTGCTCCCTGAGGCCAGAGGCCCACTCCACAAGCAGGACAACCCAAGATTGCTACAGTGGGCGGTCAGGCCGGCCCTGATGTCAGAGCAGTCTCAGCTCCTACCAGGGCACAGCCGCTGCAAAGGGACAGGCAGTGGCCAGGGCACCTCCTACCCAAGGGCACCCTTCTGTCCCACCTTTGGCAGGCCCTGGAGGCTTGCCCTGCACCACCCCTCCAGCACAAGGTCCTCCTGGCCCCACCCAACTGCAAAGGTAGGCAGAGTGAGCCAGGGCCCTGGGCCCTGCCCAGGCTGGCAGCACAGCCCAAACCGCCACTCAACCTGCACCCCAAGCCCGTGGCCCAGCCCATGGCTCCTCCACATCCCTGTGGTCAATCTGACTGGGCCCCTAGCCAGGACAGGGTCTCTCCAAGCAGCCCCGACTTCACTCGATGCTGGGGTTCTAGCAAGGCCTCTAGGAGGGCCCCTCTGCCAAAGTGCCCGTTGGGTGGGGCCTCTTGGCCAGTGCTAGGCAGGACCGTACGTCAGGTTGCAGCACCATCACAGACACGTCCTGGGGGTCCCACTGAGCTGCAGGAGCGCAGGCCCCTCTGAGCCACACTGGCCCAGCCACTGCATCCCAAGCGCCACAAACACCCCGAGTCCCTGCTCTCGGGAAACTGCTGGGTAAACACTTTGCCGCTCGGCGGTGCAGTGGCAGGCGGCAGCTGGCGGGGCGCCAGGCGGCACCGAGCTGTTTCTCCACAGCAAAGTGAGCCCCAGCAGGCCTGCCGAGCGGGCGCCAGCTGACAGCGGCGACCACACAGTCCCCCGCTGCCACCACATCCATCGTGCGCGACAGCTGCCGGGTGCCCATTTACCTTCTCCAGCACATTGAGCACGCGTGCGGTGCGGACGGCAGCCCTCAGGGCCGGTGGGCAACGGGCAGCACGGTCACCTCCAACGCCCAGCCTGTCTGTCAGGCCTCTGCCTGAGCCCAGCAGGTGCTAGCCATTGATCACCCAAGAACCAGTGAGGGCAGGGCAGGGCAGGAAGGAGCCACACGACCAGGGCCACAGCCCCCACCACCCACCTACTCCCTAGGTGGCCCTTGGAAGGCGGGGTGCCCTGTCTGGGGCCTTAGGGGGTGGGGCACGAGTGGCTGGCTTGGACATGGTGCTCCAGCTATCCAGGCCTCTCTCCCGGCTGCAGCCCTGTCCACCTACCCAGCTGGAAGCAGGATCATCATGCCCACTGCTCCCTGGGGAAACTAAGGCTCCCACAAGGGGACACTCAAGGCCAGAGAAGCAGACAGTGACCACAGACCCAGGTAGCTCTTCTCAAGTGTGGGCTCTGCCATGAAGAAGAGTGCCAATGCACGCACTGTCCCACGGGCCACAGGGTGGTCAGGTGCCGTCAGGGTGCTGCCAGGGCTGCCCTCCAGCCTCCAGATGACATCACCACCCCTGTCCATCACCCTGAGCTGCAGACCCCTCCCACCCACCCTGCGCTTCCCCACTGCCACTTCCATCTTGGCACTGCCCAGCGCCCTCTCCATCTGTCACGGAGCCCAGCGATGCTGCATCCTGTGTCCCCCAACCCTTCCTTCTCAGCTCTGCAGCCTTTGTGCAGGGTTAGGGGGTGGTCTGCATCTGTGCCCACATCTAGCTTCTAACCCCAGTGACCCAGTACCCCCAGGCACTGTCTCTGCTTGTCCTGCTTACAGAGCTTCTCACACTGGCCACAGCCCACGTGTCGCCAGCTCTACCTCCACCAAGCTGTCCCAGTGGTCCCCACACCAGGCCTCCTGGCACCTATCTGCGTGGTGTGGTGTGGTGGCTGAGGTCACGTGCAGAAGGGGCATCAGAGGCCCACTCAGCAATCAGCGCCTTGTTCAGTTCCAGAGCAGTGCCCCTGGACACACCACTTACCCATGGCCCAGCCAAACCCACCACTCAGGGCTGGCGACGAGGTTCCCGGCAGGATGAGGAGAGGCAGAAAGGCCACCGGACAGGTGAGCAGGCAGTGCCACTTTGAGAGGGGACAGGAGCCCAGGGCTCCTCCCAGGGCAGCCTCAGGCCAGAGCAGCAAAGCTGCACACATGCCAGCCCCGTCCCCACTCTGGTGCAGACACCCAGAGGACACAGAAGCAGAGACCCAGGGCCCATCCGCTGCAGCCCCTAGAGCAGACCTTGCACCCTGGGCACCCTGCTTCGCAGCCACCCCTGGGCCAGGGTCCCGAGCACAGCACTGGGTCCCCCCTGCCATGACACTGCATCTGCCCACTTCAGGTGCCATCAGACTCCCATGGCCTCACCCCGGGCCCCAGGAAGCTGGCTCCCAGTCAGGACCCGTGTGAGTTGTGCCAGGTTCCCCAGAAGAAGCCCCACCTGACACCCTACCTACAAGGGGGGCTAAGTGCGAGTCTACAGGGCCAGCCACCCAAACCCAGCCCCCCAGGATCCCACCCACACCCCAGACCCGCAGGACAGTCACCAGTGAACCCCAGCGCCAACATCTGCAGGCAAAGAATTATTATTTCCCAAGGTCAAAGAAAAGTACATCCAAAAGCAGAGGAATGAATGAGGGGCAAGGCAGGTGAGTGGCCCCCAGCAGCCGGGCCATGGCTGGACCAGGGCCCCTGCCAGGTCTGGCTGGGGAGAGCAGAGCCGGCAGAGTGGTGGGCAGCCTGGGCAGCGGGCAGCAGCCTCCACTCTGGCGTGGGAGGGCTGAGGCTGGGTGCTGGCGCTGAGCCTGGCCCGGGTGTGCCCCGACAGGGGTGCCAGCCCAGCCAGGCCAGTTCCCTCTACCCCACCCCTGCTACACTTCTAGGAACCGGCCTGATGCAACCCGCAGGGCCTCTCCTGGGAGCCCGGGAGCCACCCGCCACTGGCCCCTTCCCAGGCCTCAGCTTCCCTGTGCAATGCGAACTCTGCTACCCACAGGGCTGCCAAGGGATCAGGAGGAATCCGGGGCTCAACAGTTGGTGGGTCACAGGCCCCGTGCACACCCCACTCCTCCCTGATCACACAGAAGCCACCACACTGGAGAACACCCTGCCAGACAGGGTGGACAGCCAGGTCACAGTGGCCAGAGCACGGGGCTCAGGGGCCCCCGGATTCAGGCTGGGGCCAGTAGTGACCCCATCCCCAGGGCAAGGTCGCCCGCTTCCTCTTTTGTTGTTTGTTTTTAAAAGGAGAGTTCAACACGCTCACAGAACAGGAAACTCGGCCCTGCACCGCCGAGCCGACCCTCGGCCACAGCCCAGCCGCCGGCCCACGCCGCCCATCATCAGGCCAGGGCCGGGCTCCCACACCCTGCACACCTCACAGCACAGCCAAGGGACACCGACTGCACCACAGCCTGACACTCCCCGTCCAGGGCACCAGGCCCAAAGCCCCTTGGGGTCCGTGTCCAGCCCCTGACTCCCAGGATGCCCGGGGGCCAGATCAGGGCACATCCACAGCAGGACGCACGTGGCCTGGCCAGTGTACAGCTCTCCTGGGCTCAGCTGAGCTGAGGTCCAGACACTGCCCCCACACGCACCTGGGCACGTGCACCTGGCGGCTGCACACGCGCCCTAAGCCTGTCCCCACGGCCCCGCCTGCCCACGTCCTGGCTGCTTTCTTTGTACACACCTGGGCCAGCTCCCTGCTATGCTCAGGGATGCTGAAGACAAAGCAAGCCTGACTAAGGGGACAACAGCAGGGCTCCTCGGGATTACCATCCATGGAGCATGGACACGAGACAGCCACTGGCTCACCCCCATGCCCCAAGGCATGGTCGCCCCACCTGCACCAGCCCAAATGCCAAGTGAGTTCCCCCAAGAGCCAAGTGGCCCAACCACAGGACGGTCCTGGGGAGGCCCAGCTGAGACAGGCCTGCCCAGGCAGCGCCCTACCCTGCAAGGCCAAGGACACAAGGTGTGGCCAGGTGCCCAAGGACAGTCCAGCAGGTCCCCAGTAGCCTAGGACTGTGTGCTGTGGACCCAGAGAGATCACTATGCATCAAAAGAGACACCGAGCAGTGACTGCCCTGCTAGGCCAGCGCAGGGAGAGCCTGGGGACAAGGAACGAAGCTAGGCAGGAACGCTGGTGCCACCTCCCACCCGGGCACTACCCACACCTGTGCTACCTGTGCTGAGGCTGGGAGAGGCTGGGGGAACAGGGTCCTCTCCTCTGGCCTGGGAGGCTGCAGCTGGCTGTCCTGCCAGGTCCCACCCCCACTGTACAGATGGGGACGCTGAGGCCCAGGGTTGTCCATGACCTTTGCCCTAGAAGGCAAAACCATGACAGAGGGGCCCAATAGGGCCCTACCCAGCCCTCTGGACACCCCACAGGGCCGGATGTCCCATCCCGGAGGACTCAGAAGGGACCCTGGTGAGTAGCACCTGAAACTCTCAGGCCCCTAGGGGCTCCTGCCAGGTGCTGGCCAGGGAGAGCCCCAGGCAGGAAATGCCCCAGGAACTTGAGGCCAGGCATCTCCGGGTCAGCTCCAAATCAATCGTATAGTCGAACGGTCATTCAACCAACACCAGCAGAGTGAGGCACAGAGGCAGGGCGGAGGTGGGCAGCCCATACCCGAGGCTGTGGGGGCCGGGGGGCACAGGTGGCTCCTGGGGGGATGAGGTAGGACGGCCTCAGATGGAGGAGAGGGAGGAGGCAGCTGGGCAGGACGGGTAGCGGGGTCAGGCCCCCACAGCTCAGGCTGCAGCCTCCCCCCGGTGCTGGCCAGCACCGACCTGGCAGCTGCCAAGTCAGGCTATCTGGTGCAAGCTGATTACAACCTCTGTGCACTTGGAGCCTCCCTAGCCCCCCACATCTTCCAGGCCCATGCTACTGAGGAACTTCTATAGATCCCACAAAACCCCATCTCATGACACCCACTTTTGCCACACACCCCTGTCTGATCCATGCCTGGGGTTACCCCCCACAAAGATGTAGGATCCATCCATGTGAGGGCATGGGGGGCCACTGGCATTATGGAATCACCAGAACTTCCAGAGAAGCAGGGCTGGAGGATGAGGAAGTCTGGAGGGGATAGCCAGTGCCCACCCTAGGGCAGGAGGGCACAGCTGGAGGAGGAGCCTGCCTCGTGCCCCTCCCTGGGCTGCAGGGCTCCCACAGGTGCAGGCCAGCCCAGGTGGGCCGCTGAGCGGTGGAACCCTCCCCAGCTTCCAGCCTGAGGTGGTGCAGCCTTGCCCTGCCCTTGGGAGATCCAGGCAGGGCCCAGCCACCAGCACATCTGCCCCAGGGCACCCAGCGTCCTCACCGCCTTCCAGGAAAGCCAGGAAGGTGAGTATGGGCCAGCCCCACTCCGGCACCCACCACCAGGGAAGGTGGGGCTGGCCCCAGGCCCAGGCCCCAGGCCCAGGCAGCTGCCCACTGACCTCGCTTGTGCAGCCAGCCCTCCTTCACGATGGCCACGTCATTCATGGTGCCCACGGCCCCTGCGGGCCGGGGTAGCCCCAGTGTGCTCGTGGTCTCCACAGTCTCCTCTTGGGGGGCTTGGGGCCCTGCCCTGGCCACCGAGTCTGGAGGAAGAAGGGGGTCTCAGACGTGTGCCCGCCCTCCTGCCCCTCTTCTCCCCAGCTGTGCAGACCACTCCTACCCCACAGCCTCCGCAGCCCACTGCCCCATCCTGCTTAAGCCCACCACCACCACCGCCGCAGCCAGGCAGTACCCAGTGCCTAGCCACCCTGGCCAGAATGTTTGGCCCACAGGCTTGGACCCTTGGCAGAGACCCCCAGGCACTGGGAATGCAGAGACCCAGGCCGAGCACAGGCTGCAGCACCCGAAAGCCCAGAACTGGGCCAGAGCTGGGCCTCCGGAAATCCCAGCCCGCCTCAGCCACAGCAGCCCTGCCGTCTGAATCTGGTTCATTCATTCAGCCAGTGTGGACCAGGCATCTCTGGTTTTGCCAGGCCCTGTGCTGGGCGCCTGAGACAAAGACACGTTCAGACAGTCGTTGGTGAGGAGCACCCAGGGCAGAGTGGTTACAGACCCACAATCACAGCATTCAGGCCACAAATGGGAGCACTGGACGAGCCCTCGCCCCGCAGGGGCCTACCAGCTAGTCCACGCCGAAGCACACTGCCTGAGAGTCCACCACTGTCCCACTGCAAGTACTGTGCTCCTATGCACCCACATCACCACCTCTAGTATCCTAAGAAAGAGCACTTGCATATTCCCCCTGCCAGCAGCCTGTGCTAGCCCTCAAGGGGCTGCAGGCCCAGCAGAGACCCAAGGACCAGGTGGCATGCAGCCCAACATGGGCCCTTCTCCAGGCAGCCCAGATGCCCTCCCACCAGTCATGTCTCTGGCTTCCTGAGGCTCAGGCCAGGCACCCAGGGTGTCACTGGCCCAGTCTTCCGCGACAACTGGCCCAGCAGGAAGGCCCCAGCGTCTATGTTAAAGGCCAGGACAGGGAAGACCCAGCCGGCAGAGGAAGTGGGCCCCCAGCAGGCCTAGGGAAGCAGGCAGGAGGCCCCACCGCATAGTACCCACAGGGGGCTCTGTGGCCCAGTGGGCGTGGCCTGGACGCCTGGAGGCCCCCGCCCCCACCCCCACTGCCAGGCCCAGGCCTGCTGTTGACAGTCAGACAGCTGTAGGAGCCCTGTGTATAAATACATCGTGGCACACACCGGGCGCACAGGCAGGGTGAGCCTGGGCATAGGACGCCTCCTGCACTTGGACCCAGGTGCCTCACATAGGAGTGGGGGGCACTACCACTAAGGCCTGAGGCACAACACTCCAAACAACATCTGGGACCGAAGTCTGAGAGCTGCTTGTCCAGTAGCACCAATGCACCGGCCCTTCACTGGGGCTGGGGCCAGCAGTGACCAGCGGCCACCTGGAGCAAGGCGGGGCTGGGGGCCACACGGCACAGGCCCAGCTCTGGAACCAGCTGTCCCGGGATGGCCCGTCTCAGGAGCCCCCCTGGTTCTCCAGGCCCCCCGATCGCCAGGGTGGGCAGCATCTCCAGGCCTGGGCAGGCAGGAAGCAGCTTCCGGGCCAGGAGGGCCAGGCGCCCTTTGTGGGCTAGCCTGGGCGCCCTGCCGCCGCGGCAACTTTTCGTCCACGGGAAATGAGGTCTCCTTCCAGGCCCTCCCACGGGTTGGCAGGCCCCAGCCTTTCTCCTACCCCAACCCCACTCCGGCGCGCCCCGCCGGCCCGGGGCGTGGAGCTCCCCGCGTGCCCGGCAGCGCCCCTCTCCCCT